TTTTTTCTATTTTGGTGGAGACTATCACTCGTATTTTAATAGGAATTACACTGAATGCATAGATCACTTTGGTTATTATCAACATTTTACCTATATTGATTCTTCTAGTTCACAAATAAGGGATGAATTTTGCAAGCGAATCTCCTTCTGCTTGTAATTAACAATAGTAGGGAGGTCATTCTGACAGTATAATTAAATAGAAATGTGCTTAGTAGGTACATGGTAGAGTATGAGCCAATTTACTCTAAAGCTTATCCAACAGGAAATCTCTGTGAATTATCTCTAGATAACTGCTGTCTATTGGCAATGCTTTATTAAAATTGAAAGGTTTCTTAGCAACTGCTTCTCAAAGGAACTACTGTTGCAAGAAGAGTTAGGCCAATGTTTGTCCTCTATCACTGCCAGACAGAATAACCTCAAGATGTTAATGATAGAAACCATAATACTCAGACAGAAACAATTTACCCTAAGCAGGCAAACAGACTTCAACTTGCAGTTTTCCAGATATAACGTTTCAAATTTAGGCCAATTTATAAGCTATTGTTTGGCACAGATCAGATATTTTCTGCCACAGAACCATTAAAAGTAGACTAAAGTTTAACTTAAATGCTTGAAACAGGAGATAAATTCAGAATTACATAGTCAGTTGACTTGGCTGGTTATCATTACGCTATGACCTTCCAGCATCTAAGCACAGAGCTTTGAGTTAAAACCCTGCCTAGTTTAGTTTAATTTCATATGGTCTCGTGCTTCAGATTTTTGTTCCTATCCTTCAATGACTTGCAGCATTTTGAGGCTAAGAGGCTAAGAAAAAAGAAGGCAATGCCTTTGTGGCTATTGTATTCTACCCTCCTCTGAGATGAGAATCATCTCCTACTTTGTCATTATGCATACAGACTCTCTTCTAAGTGGAGAATCAGTATCTGTTTTGGATTCCAAATTTATATGTGATTAGATTCACAGCACACAAATTAGATTTAGCCAGACTTCTCTACACTGGCCTAAGACATTTCTCAGTGCTTTGAAAACTACTGACAAGCTAACATGCAGCCCATTAAATGTTCTACTCCGGTTCTGGGAGGGATCTGCTCATGTCCCTGGGCCTGCAGTAGGTTGCTTAGTCTTCTCACTGACGTTATGAGTTTGATAACTATTATCAATTGATGATGATACTGTTGACAACTGGGCAAATTAAGGTTCAGGGAGGGACAGAGAGCTGGAAACAGGCCAGGTGCGGGAAGGTGGCTCTAGGAAAGTCTGACAGCCAGTATACGATGGGCAGGACAGGGGCAGAAGTGGGACGGTACATGGAGTGAAACTGCACATCCTTCTGGGACTTCGCAACACCCGGAGTACATCATTGTGCCCTGAAGCATTTTACAACATTCTACCCTTCAAAGATGCAGGAATTCCCTATCAAGTTCCTTCTAACTTCCCTAGGACAACAGTAGCTCTTTTGGGAGCCCAGGCCCACTTAACACCTTCATACCTGGGCTACAACGAGCAGCCAACGGGATGCCCACAGCCCAGGAATTTTCTGGCCATTTTAACTGCCTGCCTGATGCCTCTTCTTCTCACTCTCATCCTTCTCTCTTTTACTTATCCTCTCCCACTACCTTCTCCATCCTCCCCCCCAGAGGTGCTCCCATTAGGACAGGCACCCTCTGGCCTTTTTCTCTCCCTTTCTCCTTGACTTTCTGCCCAGAACTTCCTTCCCAAGAGAGAAAACAGAGCTCAGTCTCCCAGCCACCATGACTCTTCCATCCAAAGCTTATCCTTTAGTCGGGGATACTCTTCATTCATTGTCACAATCCATGGTCCAATGACCCTGGGTGTTAGGTCTTAGACATGCTCTCAAACATCTCCTTCCTGAGCCTTAAGCTCTTCTAGGGAGGAGAGAGAAACTTCTCATCTTTTTCCTTCCCTTTCAGGCCAAGGGTGCTTGGCTTCCCTGGAACTGGTGGGAGGAGGAGCTGTATGCAGGATAGAGGCAATACCCTAGGTGCTTTACCCAAGCCCAGAGACTTAAGGCATGGAGCCATGAAAAAAAATATTCTTACTTTGCTTTGGGAAACTTCCACTCTTGTGTGTTTCTGAGAACGTGTGAGATTTTTGCTTCTTGAATAGCTTTTGACTAAAAGTGTTACCAACCTTCCTCACCTCAACTTTGATCAATTCCCCTCACGTAAACTCACCCAGACACAACTCTCAGAGTTACAGCCAGCGCTGGTCTCTCGGTGAACATTTGCTTCATGATGACATGACTGAAGAGACAGATTGACCAAGCTCCATAGTTTGACTTCAGGATTACATTGTTGGAGGGTGTGGTCAGGAGGTTTATTGTGTCTATTTAAGAGTGGTGCTTCAATTAGAACATCAAAGAACTCTCTGTCCCCATTTTCCACTCCAGGTAAGAACTAAATATGAAGAGCAGAATTATAGCTAGGGATGCCGCGGCAGACAGATTCTGTCTGAGGAACAGACATTCTGCAAAACCCTCTTTTAAATAGCACACATCCTGAGTGTTACGTGGCATGCTGCCAGTTCCCAGTATAAGTTAGAGGTGGGTGCCAAGGCTACACCTCATCACTGAATCTGGCACTGGGGAAGGGGTATGTTTAGGCTATTTTGTGGTCATCAAGGCCTCCTTCTCCTCTAGAGTCCCTTGTGTACCATCATCGTCATTTGGAATTACTGCTGGTGTTGGTGGGGTTTGGTTGTCATTAATCCTTATCATGAGGATTATGAGGACTGTCTGTTCATGGGTTCTGCAGAAGGTGAAAGAGAGCTTCTTCTCCATACTCTTATTTCCTAAGCACGTTTTTCCTTTGCATGAGGTAAATTTGAAGTTGTTCATTTCCTTTCTCAATTCAATATTCTCTACAAAACAGGATCACGAAATTCCTTTAGGTTTTTTTAACAAATAGAAATTCCAGTTCTTGGCACTAATACAGATTTTACTACATGGTAGCATATGTCTCTGCTCTTTTTAGAGCAGATTTTAAAATAGGTAGTAAAATGTTCAGGATTCGAGGACCAGCAGGTGGTGTGGTGGTTAAGGCGCTGGACACTCCCACATGGCCAACCGTGGTTTGAGTTCTGGACCTGGTGGCTTGCTTTCTCACTTTCCCTCTCTCTCGCTTTCTGTGTCTCTCTCTGGGCAAAGTAAAATAAATGAATGAATAAATAAAATTAAATAATTCTTTAAAAAAGAAACGTGTTCAGGATTCAACATACCACCTAAATTGATGATCTGTAGTTTCAATGTAAAAATCAAATATTCAAAAAATACATCAATACATTTTAATTTAGGTGCTTAATTATTGGCATGAATAAACTAGACCAATAATGAAGTATACTCAGTGAAGTTATACTTGTGCTATATTTAATTAACACCTGAGTATTCTTGTAACTACAATATTCTGGGGATGATAAAATATAGGAACTGTTTACTCCATGTGAAAATAGTAACTTAGAAAATCATATCAATACCAAAGATTGAATAATGAAAATCTTTCAAATGTGTCCTAACTTTGGAGAGAATATTCTTTCTTTGTTCACTAAAAACCATCAAAAATGGTAATTTATTGTATAGCATTACCAAAATCTTATTTATATTAGTAGATTAGCTTATAGGAGAAGTTAACTACAGTGTGTATTTCTGAAGATAAAAAATACACACTTATTGGGAACCAGCAGTTAGCGTAATGGCTATGTCACTGGACTCCCACGTAGTCGACCGTGGTTCACGTCCCGGACCCGGTGGCTTAGAACTCATGCCGGGCGTGTGTGCGTGCGTACCAAAGATCCCTAGAGGAGAATGGAGGAGAAGGGATTGTGGCGTGACCATCCCCCCTGGGGGGGTGATTTCTCACTTTCTGTCTCTATGTCTCTCTCTGTCTGGTGAGCACACACGTCCTATAGCGAAAACCTCTCCAAAAAAAAAAAAATACACACTTATTTTATCTTAATAATATGTATGTTGAGTACTAAACATAGTAGTAAAGAAAGTTAAAATATGTAAATGTTAAAATTTTTAAATATACTCAATTTGCATCATATCAGTTTTACCTAGGAAGCAAATTATAACTAGATTTCATAGAATAAAATATAATTTTATATTAAAATGACTTTAATAAAACTTTTATTAATTTTTTGCTTATAAAATGGAAAATCAGACATAACCCAAAGAAGTTTTTCCAAGGAAATTTTATGCCTAAATATAAAAATTTTGATATTTCTCTAAATATATAATGATTAAGGAAAATGTATAAAACATGTGTAAAGTAGGGATACAGAAATAAATTGTATAATTTAAAAAGTGGAATCACAGGGAACCAGCAGTTAGCATAATGGCTATGTCACTGGATTCCCACGTGGTCGACCGAGGTTCGCGTCCCGGACCCGGTGGCTTAGAACTCACGCCGGGCACATGTGTGTGCGTGCCCAAGATCCCGAGAGGAGAATGGAGGAGAAGGGATTGCGGAGTGACCATCCCCCCTGGGGGGTGATTTCTCGCTTTCTGTCTCTCTGTCTCTCTCTGTCTGTCTGGTGAGCGCACACGCCCTATAGCGAAAACCTCTCCAAAACAAAAAAACAAAAAAACAAAAAAAAAAGTGGAATCACATACCTGGAACTATGTACATCACAACTTTATTCACACATGTATAAGTAATTTTAATATAGAAAATAAGGGACCAGCAGTTAGCACAATGGCTATGTCGCTGAACTCCCATGTAGTCGACCGTGGTTTGAGTCCCGGACCCAGTGGCTTAAACTCACGCCAGGCACATGTGCGTGTGTGCCCAAGATACCGAGAGGAGAATGGAGAAGAAGGGATTGCAGTGTGTCCACCCCCCCACCCCCGCAGGGCAATTTCTTGCTTTCTGTCTCTCTGTCTCTCTGTCTCTCTCTGTCTGTCTGGCGAGCTCACACGCCCTGTAGCAAAAACCTCTCCAAAAAAAAAAAAATAGAGAGAGAAAATAAAATTATTTCTTTTAACATTTCAATTTATTTTATACACCAGGTCATAGATCATTCCAATCAATGTACAGACTTCAAATTTTCTGAGACAACTTTAATTAATCCTCTAACACACGAATAGTTTTTGTCCCTGGAATACATTGTCTTCAAAAAACATGAAGTCCTAGATAAAAACAGAAATACAGAAATAAGTTTTCAGCAACCAAAGAGATCAATTCTTAGATGCAGATATGCTAAGGGAGCTGATGAAACACAGTGACATACCTGTTAAATAAGAGAAATTAAGTGTAAGAAACAATACAGAAAAAATATATAAACTTTACCTTCAGCTTTCTATTTTAATAGCAATTGACTTATAATCCTGTTCATTTCTTGACACCTGTAAGAATTTAATTAATCCTCTCATAATTTCTTTAAATATCACTTTTTCTTGTCCCCCTTGGAATCTTCCACTTTAATATTTTTTTCTTCAACCTTTTATAGTCTTACTCTAATAATACAACTTTTTTCTGACTGGAGTTCCATAAACAACATATTAAGAAAACACTCTTGGGCCAGTAGATGGTGTGGCAGTTAAGATAGCTGGATCCCACATGGCTGGCTGTGCAGTTCAAGTTCTGGACCCAGCAGCTTGAAAATCATGCTGGCACAACATTCTGAGAAGAGAATAGAAGAGAAGGGATTGCAGATTGGCCCATTTTCCTGGGAGTGTGATTTCTCACTTTCCCTCTCTCTCTCTTTCTGTCTCTCTCCAGCGAGCACATTCACCCTATAGCAACTTTTAAAAATCATCTCATTTATAATAGCATCAGAGAAAATAAAATATTTCATAATAAATTTAATCTAAGAGATAAAAGGTCTGTACACTAAAAATTATAGGACATTGGTGAAAGAAACTGAAAAATACAAAAATAAATGGAAAGCTATCCTATGTTCATGGATTTGAAGAGTTAATATTGATAAGCTGTTCATACTACTCTAGGTGATCTACAGATTCAATACAATCCCTATGAAAATCCTTATAATATCTGTCACAGAAATAGAAAAAAGAATTCTAAAATGTAATAGAAATACAAAAGACATCTAGTAACCAAGGCAATCTTGAACAAGAACAAAGCTAAAGGTATCACTCTACCCAATTTAAAATGTGTTACAAATCAGTAATATAACAACATGATACTGGCATAAAAGCTGACATACCAACCAATAGAATTGGATAGAAAGCCCAGAAATAAACTCACACACTTATGGTCAATTGATTTTCAACACAGGTACCAAGAATGCACAATAGGGAAAGGATAGTCCCCTCCATAAATGCTGAACACTATAAATCCACTAGGAGAAGACTGAAATTAGACTGTTATTTCACATCATATACAAAAGTCAACTCAAAACCAATTAATGATATAAATATAAGAAAAGGAAAAAAAAGGGAAAAAGTTCTGCCACGTTGATCTGGGAATTGATCTCTGGAATATGATATCAAAAAGCAGCAACAAAAGGGGACAGATGGCATTGCACCAAACTGAAAAACTTTTGGGACCAGCGCAGTTAGCATAATGGCTATGTAACTGGGCTCCCATGTAATCAACCGTGGTTCGAGTCCTGGACCTGGTGGCTTAAACTCACGCCGGGCGCGTGTGCATGCGTGCCCAAGATCCTGAGAGGAGAATGGAGGAGGAGGGATTGTGGCGTGGCCCCCCCCCCCCCCCGGGGGATGACTTCTCGCTTTCTGTCTGTCTCTGTCTGTCTGTCTGGTGAGCACACGTGCCCTATAGCAACGAGGCAACATATGAAAAAACACTACCAAAAAAAAAAAAAAAAAAAAAACAACTTTTGCACAGCAAAGGAAATAACTAATAGAGTTAAGAGACAACCCATGAACTGGGAGAAAATATTTGCAAACTGTACATCCGATAAGTGGCTAATCTGAAATATCTAAGGAACCCAACCCTATAGCAAGAAGACAGATAAACATGATTTTAAAATGGGAAAAGGACCTGAACAGACATTTCTCAGAAAAAGACATACAAACGGCCACAGGTGTTTGAAAAATATTTCTCAACATCACTAATCATTAGGAAAATGTAAATTAAAACCATAAAGAGGTATCACCTAACATTTAGAATGGCTATTACAGAAAAAGATGAAATATATACATTGGCAAGGCTGGGGAGAAAAGGCAATCCTGGTACACTGCTTGTGGAAATATAAATTAGTATAGTCAAGAAAACAGCATAGAAATTGAAAAAAAAAAGAAAAACACTAAAATAGAGGGACCAGCAGGTGGCATGGTGGTGAAGGCACTGGACGCCCACATGGCTGTGGTTCAAGTGATTCAACCGCTGGACATGGCAGCTTGAATATCATGCTGGGCACGTTTGCATGCCTGCCCAAAATCCCAGGAGAAGAAAGGGGAGAAGGGATTGTGGCATGGCCATCCCCCTTGGGGGGATGTGATTTCTCCTTTTCCCTCTCACTGTCTCACTCCAGTTAGCATACACATCCTGTGGCAAAAATATTAAAAAAGAAAAGAAAAGAAAGAAAGAAAGAAAGAAAGAAAGAAAGAAAGAAAGAAAGAAAGAAAGGAAGGAAGGAAGGAAGAAAGAAAAAAAGAAAGAAAGAAGGGAAGGAAGAAAGAAAAAAAGAAAGAGAAAGAAAAACAAAACAAAAATCCAAACACTAAAATAGAATTACATTATTATCCAGTGATCTCACTTCTGGGGTTCCAAAGGAGTTGAGATTAGTATGCCAAAGAAGTATCTGCATAACCATGTTGAGTGCAGCATTTTTCACAGTAACAAAGACATTGAACCAGTCTAAAAGTCCAACAATGAATGGATAGAGAAAATATGGTGTGTATATATACTCACTGGAATAGTATATAGCCTTGAAAAGGGAATTCTGTCATTCGAAACAGCATTAATGAACTTGGAAAACATTTTGCTAACTGAAATAAGTCAGGCACGAAGTGCAAATACTATCTGATCACACTTACATATGGCATCTAAAAAGGTCAAATAGAGAGCAGAAATGTGGTTACCAGAGCCTGGGATTAAAAGGTTGATTTGGGGGGAAAAGGGTGATGGTCAAAGCTTCTCAGTTTCACTTAAGGAAGAAGAATAAATTCTAGTGATCTATTTCATAGCATGGTGATTATATTTAACATACTATACATTTCAAAATTGCTTAAAAATAGACTTTAAATCTTCTCATCATTTAAATAGGAAGTAGGTGAGGTGATGGATATATTTGATTTAATCATCCACAAGGTAAACAGATATTGAGGCATCACTTTGTATCCAAATTATTTCCAATTATCATTTGTCCTTAAAATAAAATGAATAGAACCAGGGTTTATTTAAAATTTTAGTTTGTTTGTTTATGTCATGAGAACAAGCAGAGACAAAGAGTACCGCGGCAGGGTCTTGACGCTGCAATCCCCCCCTCCTTCAGCAAGCCCTCAGTCACAGCACAAGTGCCTGCTATATTATCTTCTACTTTTTTTCCAGAGAGATTTTTGCTGCAGGGAACATGCACTACTGGGGAGACAGAGAGAAATCACCCCCTCAGAGGGATGGCCATGCTGCAATCCCTTCTCCTCCATTCTCCTCTTAGGATCTTGGGTACACATACACACACACACCAGGGGGGTGTTTTAAGCCACTGGGTCTGGGTTTTGAACCATAGTCGACTACATGGGAGTCCAGCAACATACCCGTGAAGCCGTCTGCTAGTCCCTCTGCCTAGTGTATTCAAGGAGGTCTCTGAACACAAACCTGGAACCTTCCCATGTGGCCCAGCCTCCAAGAGCATCAAGTTTTACCACTGTGCCACCATGTATTCCGCTACACTTAAAATTTCATCACCCAAATTAGGATAGCATAATGAAGTCCCAGAGATCCTTTACCTCAGGCAGTAATTAATAGCATGGCCATATTATTTAATCTGCTTTCCGTACCTTATGTCTCCCTAGCCTTACCCCTAGTGTTGCCCCATGAGCACGGTAAAGAGCTATGTATAGAAAGCTGGATCCTGCATGGCTCTGGCAGCTTGAAAAATATGCCGGGCACGTGTATGAGCATGCCCCAAATCCTGACGGGATACAGAAATAGAGGAAAAAGGATTCTGGTGGGACATGCCCATTGGAGAATGCTCTCTGTCTCTCTGGTGAGTGCATGTGCCCTCTGGTACTTAAATAAAAATGTAAAAAGAGCAAATTCCAGGCCTCGTCAGGTAGCATAGTCCATAACATTCTGAGCTACAGTGCTAGAAACCACATGGCTGACCACAGGATCAGATCCCCCAGTCAACCGGAAAACACGCTGGGAGCACATGCATGGGCACCCTGAACCCTGAGGAGACTGGTGAAAGGGGTCAAAATATAACAAGACCTTGTTGAGAGTGACCTCTCTTTCTCCTTTTTCTCATGCATGAGCATATGCTCTCCAATAAATAAATAAAATACAAATTTTTGAAATTATTTAAAAGCAAATCCCCAGAACTTCAGTATGTACTGCTAAAAGATATGGACTCTGTTTTGCTTTTGTAAAAAAATTTTTATTCAACTCTACTTATGTGTTTATTTACATTTGACCAGAGAGGGACAAAGAGAGTGAGAAAGCAAGTCGTCAGGTCCGGGACTTGAACTGTGATCGGCCACATGGGAGTCCAATGACCTTAACCATCAAGCCACTTGCCAGCCCCTCTGTTTTGCCTTTATGTAACCATAATATCATGATCACATCTCTAAGATTAATTATTAATTTACATTAATATTTATTGATATAATAAATTATTATATATTAATACTAATACAATTTATTCATACTAACTACTCACGCAATGTTCAAACTTCTCTGAATGCTTCATAAATGTCTTTGTATTAGTTTGTTCAAATAAGTGCCCAAACATGGCCTACAAATTGTATTAGTGATAAGGAACCCTATTATTACTGAACCGGAGTGTATGTGTCCAACTTACCGGTGTACCCAGTAGCTAAGCCACTGGAGTTTAGGGCAGAGAAAGATCTTCATTTAAACAAAGGGTGATGAAAAAACTACTAATAATAAATAAATAAATATATAAAGACGGGATTCGAAGGAACATCTCAAATCCCATCTCGTAAGCTGCCTCCAGAGGTTTTTACAGCTGAAACATGAAAAGTGAGGGGAGAAATTTTGCCATCTCTATCATTGATGTGACTTGCAGCTGTAGACCTCGAGGCATCATTAAGCAATTATGGTCTTTGTTCCTGCTGATTTTTGCAAGTCAAGCTCATAGATGATCAACTTAGGGTCAGTTGACTTTTCTGCAGAGAAACATTTTTGTTCAAGATATGGTCACTTATATGAGAATGCCTATGTACTGAGTCTCCATCTGCTTATTTGAGCAGGGTAAATTGTTAGCAACTAAGATCTAGAGAAAAAGGATAAGAAAGAAAAAACTTGAAGCTACTGCTTACCCATTTGGAGGCACAGAGAAAATTAGCAGACTACACTAAGTTCCATTACAAGTTTTAATTATAATGAGTGGTTTGCTATACAAGGTGAATGTCACTAAAGTCTACCTCTTGTTAAATTTTATTTTTTTTATTTCCTTGACATTTGTTTGTTAAGGAAATTGCATTTAGTTGTATAGTCTATCACCTTTTAGTCTTTTAGTCTTTTTTTTTCTGATTTCTTCTCCAAATTAATGTTTAAGATGAAGTGTTTGACCTTTTCTTTCCCTCAGGAGGTGTGAGCATTCACCTGAGGGAGACATAGAGACAGAAAGAGACAGAGAAAGTAGCCCCAATGGGATGTGGTGTGCTAAAATCCCTTCTCTTTCTTTCTCATTCCTGTTGAGATGTGGGGCATGAAAACATACTCAGTATGTTTTCCAAGCCGCTGAAGCCAGTATTCAAATGACAATCTGCCATATGGGATTTGACTCTCTTAACCACTAGGCTACAAGGCCAGCCCTTGCATACACAGTGGACTCACCTGGGAGTTTTAAACAGGTTGACAGTTTGGTCCCACCTCCAAAGATTTTGATTCCATAGATCTGGGTGCAATCTGGCCATGGGGAGTTTGAAAGTCACCCATGTATTTCCTAGGCAGCTAAGTATGAGAATCCTTGCTCTGTTCCCACAGTTCCTGAATTTTGAGTACATTTTGAAATCACCTGCAGCATCATACAAATTTTTTATTCTGAATACATAATTTAGTTGAGCTATGATATAGCCTGAGAATTGGGATTGTTTTTTAAAGTTCCCTCAGTGATTCTGATACGAAGACAATTTCTGAATCAATGCTGTATCCCATATATTTTCTATAAATGGGAAGTTGAAGCTATAGGCTTGGCTGGATATTTGAGTACAGAAGAATGGAATTGATGAATGAGTTCATACTGGCGCAAAAATATTTGAAATTCATGTATAGTGTTTTTTTTAATAATATGTATTTTGTGAGAACATTTTGAAGACTTCCCCATCTATTATTATTATTGAGGTTTATACACTTAATTAGATCATTTCGTTTAATAATTAGCCAGAATAATACTTCTGTGTTTCCCAAATTTTATTCCATGTAAACCTAGATTTTCAAATTCTTCTCTAAAGAATCATCTTAGCTTTTTTAAAAAATAATCCCTTCGTGGGAACCAGCAGTTAGCGTAATGGCTATGTCACTGGACCCCCACGTAGTCGACCGCGGTTTGCATCCCGGACCCAGTGGCTTAGAACTCACGCCGGGCGCGTGTGCGTGCGTGCCCAAGATCCTGAGAGGAGAATGGAGAAGAGATTGCGGCGTGACCATCCCCCCTGGGGGGTGATTTCTCACTTTCTGTCTCTATGTCTCTGTCTGTCTGGCGAGCGCACATGCCCTATAGCGAAAATCTCTCCAAAAACAAAAACAAACAAATAAACAAAATAATAATAATCCCTTCTTCCCCAAACCAGGGCCTTATCTTAACATAGAAGTTCCTTCTCGTGCCATATGGAAGTACATAGACTCTTCACACAGAAAATAACCATCTATCAACCCAGAGAGTCAGGACAGAAGAGAATTTCTAACTCTAATTAAATGGGAATCCTTGTTTAAGTCCTCCAGATTTAAAAAGGTAATTTGTAAATGTACAATTTACTGAATTATTTCAGGCTTATTTTAGCCAAACCATTCTCTAATCAAGATTAGCAAGGAAATACTTACGATGAGAAGACAAGCACCAATCATCACAGCTTTCATTTTAACATCAAGGTCTAAGGCAAAATAGACCCCAAAGTCATCAGTATCTGTAAACACTTCTTTCAAAATCCCAGACCAGTGCTTGGAAATCCTGCCAAGCACAGTTGTTTCATCAAGTGATCTAATCTAAATTTCAAACAAACAAAAATAAAGTCTTAAAGAATTTTAATTTTGATTTTTTAAAGAATTATTTTATATAACTTTATTTACTTATTTTAATTTGCCAAGAGAGAGAAAGAATGAGAGAGAGAAAGTGAGAAAGCAAGGTCTGGGACTTGAACCACAGTCAGCCATGTTGGAGTCCAGCACCCTTAACTACCATGCCACCTGCCGGCCCCCAATTTTGATATTTTTTAGAGGATTTTGCCTGAAGGCATGTGTGCTGGCTGGAAAGAGAGACAGAGACAGTGAGAGGGAATGTGAGAAATTACCTTCTGATGGAGGGCCACACTACAGTCCCTTCTCCTCCCAGGATCTTGGGCATACACACACGTTCCCTTCATAAGTTACTAGGTCTGGGGCTCAAACTACAGTTAGCCATGCGGGAGTCCAGTGAGGCAACCAGTACGCCATCTGCTGGCCCCAATTTTGATATATTTTTAAGTTTCAAAAATGCAGAAGATAACTTATCAGCCGCTGTGATCACCAATAGAATGAATAGATGTAGTATTTCTCCGTTTTAATTTGTATAGTACAAAAATTTCAAAATTTGTCCAAATGTATTGATATTTAAGAAGTAGAAAATATAATTTTAAAATCGTAAATATGAATGATTACTTACAACTCATAAGTTACAAGGTCTAGATAATTTTTAGCTATAGTCCTTCTCTCTAATAAACTGACCTCTAGAAATCATAAGTTGGTATTTGTGAGATAATAAATATATTGGGACCAGCAGTTAGTATAATGGCTATGTCGCTGAACTCCCATGTAGTCGACCGTGGTTTGAATCCCAGACCCAGTGACTTAAACTCATGCCAGGTGCATGTGCGTGCATGTCCAAGATCCCGAGAGTCAAATGGAGGAGAAGGGATTGCAGTGTGGCCATCCCCCCTGGGGGGTGATTTCTCACTTTCTATCTCTCTCTTTTAAAAGTCTCTATATCACATGGGTATTCTTAGAATTGCCCATCTCTGTCACTAGACTATGACGTCAATGAGAAGGATTTATCTTCATACTGCCAGGGTCTAATAGAGGTTTTTAAAACCTTCTTATGAGAGAAGGAATACAGACGATGACCACGATGAAGCTGGATAGTCTGAACCTCAAGAAGACACGGAGACACTGCCAGTGCTATCATACGTCATCATGAGGGGCAGCCCTACTCAGCTTTAGGGTAGTCCTTCCACATTCTGTGGACGTGTGGCCCCAGTTAATAGATTTTCTATTTTTCCAAGAGAACCAGTATAACAAGATTGTTATAAAATTCCTTAATTTTTAAACATCTGCAACTAAATTGGACTAGAAGGTTAGGCCATCATTCCGTCTTGTGTTGTTTTATTTATTTTATTCAATTTTTTGGAGAGGTTTTTTTGCTGTAGGGCACGTGCACTCAGCAAAAAGGCAGAGAGACAGAGAGACAGAAAGTGAGAAATCACCTTCCGAGGGGAGGGGAGAGGTGGCCACACCGCAATCCCTTCTCCTCCATTCTCCTCTTGGGATCTTGGGCACACATGCATGTGCACCCAGAGTGAATTTAAGCCATGGTTGACTACATGGGAGTCATTATGCCATCTATTGGTCTCTATTTTATTTTTAATTGTGAGATGGCAGGTGTACTCATGAGAGAGAGAGAAACAGAGAAAGAGTGAGAGAGAAAGCAATCTTCAATGGAGTGTGGTCACATCACAATCCCTTCTTCTCCATTTTTCTGTCCTATTGGCATCTTGGGCATCTATACACATGTGCTTGGCATGTTTTTCAATGCACTGAGGCCAGATTTTGAACATCCATTGACCATTTGGGATTTGACTCTCTTAACTACTAGACTACAAGACTGGTCCAAGGCTAGGCCATCTTTTGAAGAACTGCAGAATAAAATTTGTCCATATGATAAGAAATATATAAACATGTGGAGAGCAACCAGTCTGAGAAAACATGTGACCTTTAGACACATGCAGAAACGCTTCTGTAGGCTACTCTAGCAGGGCTCTTGAGAAGCATCTGCATAGGAAAGCAGTATCTGCCTACTATCAGTCGTTATCTTCCTGTTGTTGATACCCAATACCCCGATATTGCCAGCATCAGGCCAAAGAAAGTCACATGTGTTTATCAGATTGTCCCCCAAAGAGATCAGAGAAATTAAATGGCGCCAGTCATTTTCACATCTTCAGATGATTTACACCCCCAGACTGGCTTTGCATGCCATTTCCTTCTCCCCCATTCTCTTTGCATCCCATTTCCACTTCTGCCATTTTCTGCCCTTTGAAAGAATAAACCTGAGACCAGTTTCCTCCATCAGAGAAGCTGGGCCCACCCGATCCTCGTTTTTCTATACCTGTGTGTCTTTGTGTGTTTATTATTGTGTCTATTTCTAATCCACAGCCTTCTCCACTCAGAAAAACATGTTCAGGCAGAACAAGTCCCAGCACAAACATACTATGGTTTTCAATAACCTAATATAATAAAGTACAAAGATAACAGAGGAACCCCAGAGAGTGGTAGTATGTTTATTAACGTTCTTAAAAATTTCTTTGCATGTTGAGTTTTTCCTAAGAATTCAAAGATGTCAGACCTAAAGATGACTCAGAGCACTGGCAGTCTGTATTTCCAAATAAGGAAGCATACGTATGTTCTGGCAACCAGACTTAGATGGCCCTGACTAGGTGAAGGTTAGCATTTTATTTAAAATGGATAACATTCAGGATCACCACATGGAGAATGTCAAGTTTAAGTGGTAGATGTGTTGCTTGGTTTTACTTGACTTCAAAGCTCTGCTTCTCTTCTCTCTCATTTAGTATTAATCAACACTGACCTTTAATCAGAGTAATGCACGTGACTACTGGGCTGGCCAACGTTAAATATATGAGCATGTTATTCCTCTCTTGAGCTGTCAGTATATAAACACTTTGTGTATTTGTAATAGCTTGCAACATTATATTCTACTTAAAGGAGACTAGCAGGTGGTGTGGTGGTTAAGGCGCTAGACACTCCCACATGGTTGACCACGGTTCAAGTTCAAGTCCTGGACCTGGTGGCTTGCTTTCTCACTTTCTTTCTCTTTCTTTCTCTCTAGTCCGCTCTCTCTCTCTCTCTTTCTTTCTCTCTCCCCTCCCTCCCCCCCGTGTGTGTGTGTGTCTGGTCAAATTAAAATAAATTAATTACAATATAATGATTCTCTTTTTAAAAATTTTTTAAAGAATTATTTATTTATTTAATTAGATTTGTTCTTATCATTTCTTCCATTTAACCAGAGACAGAGAGAAAGAAAAAGTGAGAAAGCGAGCCGCTGGGACTCGAACTATGGTCGGCCATGTGGGAATCCAGGATATTTATCTACTACGCCACCTGCCGGCCCCAAGAGAAAATAATTCTTCAAAAAAACCCAAAAACTATATTCTACTTAAAATAGAGAGGCCAATCGTAAAAACATTCTTACTGCTTGGGAACCAGCAGTTAGCATAATGGCTATGTCGCTGGACTCCCACATAGTCGACCGCGGTTCGCGTCCCGGACCTGGTGGCTTAAAACTCACGCCAGGCGCATGTGCGTGCGTGCCCAAGATCCCAAGAGGAGAATGGAGGAGAAGGGATTGCGGCATGACCATCCCCCCAGGGGGTGATTTCTCACTTTCTGTCTCTATGTCTCTCTCTGTCTGTCTGGCGAGTGCACGTGCCCTATAGCGAAAACCTCTCCAAAAAGCAAACAAACAAACAAACAAAAAACATTCTAACTGCTCTTACCTCAAAATCCACATTTCCACAGCAGCTGCACATAAGACACGGGCCGATAATTTTCATGACATCCTCTTTCTGCTCATTTTGAATTGTAAACTTTGGCAGATACGGGTGCCACTTCTGACTAATGTAACCGATTGGTACACCAGGAGGAGCTTGGATTTCTATCTACAAAAGCAAAAGAATATATGTAAAAGTCACCACCATCATCAGGCGTAAGAGCTCTCATTTACTGAACAGTTTCTTAAATGCCACTTAATTCACAAAACACCCTTACTAAGTTGATGCGACAGATTACTTCGCCTGTTTCGTAGAGTATGCGATTACGGAAAGAGAGGTCCGTTAACTCACACCGTATCCCTCAGCTTTGAGGTGGAAGAAATGAGCAAAAATGTGGGCAGGCTACAGGAATAGCACTGATCTCCTGGCCTTGTCTATTCCTAAATTTCTATAGTTAAGAAAACTCTAAATTATTAAGAAAGTATTTTCTTTTTTCTTTAAAGAATTACTTATTTAATTTTATTTATTCATTCATTTATTTTCATTTGACCAGAGACACACAGACACACAGAGAGAAGGAAAGTGAGAAAGCAAGCCACCAGATCCTGGACCCAAACCTTGGTAGGCCATGGTGGGGAGTGTCTAGCACCTTAACCACCACGCCACCTGCTGGTCCCCCAAGGAAGTATTTTCTTGAAACTGTTTTTGGAGAGGTTTTTCTCTATAGGGCGCATGTGCTCGCCAGACAGAGAGAGATGGAGAGACAGAAAGCGAGAAATCACCCCTCAGGGGGGATGGCCACACCGCAATCCCTTCTCCTCCATTCTCCTCTTGGGATCTTAGGCCCTCACGCACACATGCCCGGCGTGAGTTTTAAGCCACCGGGTCTGGGACATGAACCACAGTTGACTACGTGGGAGTCCAGCGACATAGCCATTACGCTAACTGCTGGTCCCTTTCTTGAAACTCTTAAAACAGCAGCTTCTCTGTATAGGAAGAAAATCATAGGAACCCTAGCGCATGGTTAACCTTAGCCCACGTTCCTGTGTGGTGTGTTTCCTGGGGCTGAGCAACAGCTGGCAGAAGAGAGTTACTGATTGATATTCCAGGAAAGGTTAGATCGAGCTCTTAGGTCAAATCACTTAAAGGCAGTGACTATCAGAGGCATGGCCAGAGCCAGCAGAGTTGCACTATTCAAAATATCCTAGAATATCATTCCAGGATCACATGGAAGAAGTCATGACGGAAAGAACAAATCTGTTCATGTTGCAATTTGGCCCACATAACGCTGATCACCCGTGTGATTTTCAAATACAAATGCCAATGGTGTCGTAAGGAAAAGAACATGTGGACTGGAAGAGTGGCTTTGCTCTTTATTAGCTGGGCAGCCTGGGGAGGGCCTCAGTATACTCATCTTTAAATGAGGCCCTCCTGGAACCTCTGTAAAAGATCAGACAGTGAAATGCATGTCAACGTAGTATTCAAATTGTAGAGCATTTCTCTTCAAACTCTTATCTTTTCCTCAAATATTCTTAGGTATATATAAGAATATATACCTGGTGGCTTCCTTTCTCTCTTCCTCTGTCTGTCTGTCTGTCTCTTTCTGGTCAAATGAAAATAAATGAATGAATAAATAAAATAATTTAAAAAATTATAAAGAAAAAAAAAGAATATTTGTAGAGGGGCCAGCAGGTGGCATGGTGTTTAAGGGTACTGGACTCCCACATGGCCGACCATGGTTCAAATTCCAGACCTAGAGGCTTGCTTTCTTACTTTCCCTCTTACTCTCTCTCTCTCTCATTCTCTGGTCAAATTACATAAAGTTTTTTTAAAAAAAGAATATTTACACACACACACAGTATAGTTTTCCTTTCAAAGAAACTCAGTGTCAGACTGAAATAACGTATCTGTCTCTGTGGCATGTTGGCACAGAAACCTGTGTGGAATGACTGAGCTACTCAGGCAGAGCTGGTCTTGGGCTAATGGGACTCAGCCAAAATCCAGTTTTCTATAAGGTCTGTTCCCTAGTGTCTTCTCTGAAAACCACATTCTTTGAGTAGGTTTTTAAGTAATATGGATCAGACAGCTGGTCTTACAGAAGGAAAGATGCCCCCCTCCCCAGGGTATTTCTCATACAGAGGACACAGATGTATATTAAAAAATAAATAAATAAATAAGAAAAAGAGAAATGAAAAACATAGGAGATAACATTTTTTAGGAGTACCTTCTCCTGAGTTAGTCCCTTAGTAGATTGGCCAAAATTGCAAGATAAACACATTTGTTCTTCCCCTTATTTCTCCTTCTATATGTTCCTAAATGGTATTCTAGAATATTCCGAATAGTGCAATTTCACCAGCTCTGGCCATGCCTCTGATTGTTATTTCTCATGATTTATTTGACCAAGGAGCTCTATCTGAGCTTTCCTCAAAAATCAAGAGCTCTTTTTGTTAAGCTGTTGCACACCGCCATGAGGTACACCAGGTGGGAACATGGGGCTGACTATTCAGTAAGGGCCACCTGACTTCCTTCTTATGAAATTGACTCTAAAACAACTGAATTATGGATCAATTTTCTTTTCATTACATTTGATTATATAGACTTAATGAAAGGGTGTAAACTCTGGGGCCAGCAGGTGGTGTGGTGTTCAAGGGCACTGGACTCCCACATGGCTGACCATGATCCAAATCCCGAACCTGGCAGCTTGCTTTCTCACTTGCCTTCTCTCTCTGTCTTTACTCTTGCTCTGTCCCTCTCTGGGCAAATTAAAATAAATAAATAAAATTAAATTTAAAAATAAAAAATAATTTAAAAAAAAAAGAAAGGATGAAAATTCTAACTGAATGGTTTACAAGCTAGCATAATAATAGCTCACAGACCTTCTGAAGGCAGCAGGGGCAAAAGCAGCTGTTACATCTTAATGGTCTCTCCAGAATTATGACTTCTCGTCGCATATTATCCATAATCTTCATGGTGAAAGGCCTACTATATCCACAGCAATTTCTAGTACAGCAATCATTATATTCTACTGCAAAGTAAATTCTCTCTCCCAGGCGGTTCCTAATTTCATATTTGTTAGCAGTTTCAAAACCTGTCAAGACTAAAAGCATAGAAGAGGAGAATACAGTCACCATTATGTTAAAAGAGTATTGAATTGGGGCCTGTTGTGCAGTAGCTAAGGGAGTTGATCCTGCATGGTTGGCCATCATTCGAGTTCTGGTGTGGTGGCTTAAATAACATTTCAGACATTTATGTGTGGAGAAATGAAGAGAAAGAGATTAAGGCAAGATCACACAATGGGCGTTGATCTCTCTCTCTTTTTTCTCTGGTGAGTACACTGTCTTCTGACAACCACCAACACCAAAACCAAAAAACATAAACAAAACAAAAAAAAAAGAAAGAAAGAAAGGGAAAATATTGAAGTTATGCCAGGACACTATAATATCTAGCTCTTCTGGTTTTAGATAATGCTGCATGTAGCCTAAGGAAAAGGGAAAACAAAAAAGATGTTTAGAGACTATCCGGGCAGAGAAAAAAAAGGGAAAGGAGATAGAGGGGCTACTAAGGTGTGGAAAATTGCAGAGTCCTTTTGTGAAACACACAAAACACAAATTCTATCTTCCTAACACATGGACTCTCGTCAGAAAGGGAGACGTTGCTGCTGAGGGTTGGGGCAATGCTCCAGGGGGCACAGGAGTGCTAGGTGCATGGATTAAACGTCCACCTACGGTAGTCTTCATGTATCACGGAAGGGCTGTAGGATTGCCGCAGATGCTCTGTGATATATTCTATTAAATCAACTGGTTTGAGATTTTGGTTCATAAACCCTATTCATGGCTTATTTTTTTTGCATTGTGCCCAAAGGAAAGCAAAAAAGGGCTCACTCTCAATGTGCACATGTCAAAAGAGAGGGAGTGAAAGTAGAAGTGACCTGAGTGGAAGGTGACCTGGAATGTCACCTTGAGCCGAAACGCATCACTGCTTAGGTCAGCAGTAGTTGCTTAGAAGTGACAGGAGGGTACTACGCAAGGGAGAAAAGACTTTGCAACCAGGGCTTCAGCTCACAGAGTATTTAGACCCTGGGCATCCTGACAAATTCTGCACCTTAGAGGGGCTGATCCCTTCATGGGGGAAGCGGAGATGCTGAATGCTGACACCCTATGCTACCTTACTCAGGGCTGTCCGTATTGATGCACGTAGTGGAAACACTTGTCTAGAGCCATGTGTATTTGTCATGTCCACAGAAAGACATCATAAAAAGATGTCCTTTTCAAGTTCTATCAACATCAGTTTCTTAAGTGTCTGGTGGGACTCAGCAGGCCCTGTACTCTGCCTTTATTAGAACACACTTATCTTTCCAGGTACTTGAAAATGAAACAAACGAAACAAAAGAAGGATATGATTATATCTTTTTTTGGAGAGGTTTTTGCTATAGGGCACATACGCTCACCAGAAAGACAGAGAGACAGAGAGAAAGCGAGAAATCACTCCCCAGAGGTGATTTTGACTCCTTCATTCTCCTTTTGGGATCTTGGGCACAAACGCACACGTGCCCGGCGTGAGTTTAAGCCACAGGAGTCCAGGACTCAAACCGCCGTCGATTACATGGGAGTCTAGCGACATAGCCATTATTCCAACTTCTGGTCCCTATATGATTATATCTTTAGCATTTATTACATTTTCAGTAAGGAGAAAGTTGTAAGTGTCTGTCATAGTGTCAGATGCAAAAAAATCAGCTAATATTCATCTTTTTATACTACATATGTAATGTTAAAAAAATAATATAGACTTCAGCTTATGAAAAATAAATTTCCCAAAAAGTTGAAAATTGAAAACTAGTAAGTATGTGGGACCAGCAGACGGCATAATGGCTATGTCACTAGACTCCCATGTAGTTGAATGTGGTTCAAGTCCTGGACCCGGTGGCTTAAACTAACGCCGGCTACATATGTCTTCATGTCCAAGATCCCAAGAGGAGAATGGAGGAGAAAGGATTGCGTTGTGGCCATCCCCCTGGGGGGTGATTTCTCGCTTTCTGTCTCTCTGTCTCTCTCTGTCTTTCTGGAGAGCACACACGCCTTACAGCCAAAAAAAAGCCTCTCAAAAAAAAAAAAAAAAAAAAACTAGTAAGTATGTAATTTACTTTCTGTTCCACAGTGAAATACATGTATGTGTTGCACAAATAGACATCAAGCTTATGAATCAAAAAAGCATAAATGGAGTGCTGTATAATATAGTGTCTAGCTTTTTAGTTTCATATTCTCAATAATAGGTACTATAAAATAAAACATTTTTAAATATTCAGACTACAAACTATCAAAGAACGAAGTGTTCCTTTCCAGAGAAAACTTAGTTCACAGAACTAAACAAAATCAGGAGAATTATAAATATCGAAAATGTACATTACAAGTAATTTAAATATAATAGATTAAAACAATGTATTTTAACATAGTCCGCTACTGTGCTTGTGTAATTAACGTTCTAGTGTCTACATGTGGAAAGAAACTTTGCAGTCAGAGGAAGATGGATTTTAATAAATATAGTCGAAAACCCGGCAGTGGGCCAGCCAGGTGTCATGGTGGTTAAGGTAACTGGATCCCACATGGCTGATTGCCCAGCTTGAGTTCTGAACCCAGAAGCTGAAAAAGCATGCCAGGTGTGTGTGCATGCGTGCCCCAAATCCTGAGGAGAATGGAGGAGACGGGATTGCAGCATGATGACAAAAGTGCTTTTTCACTTTCTTTCTCTGTCTCTGTCTCTGGCAAGCACAAGGGCCTATAGGGGAAAAAAAAGCAGCAGAATTTTCATTATACTCATATAGCTAGAAGGAAGACCCTGTGATTCATAAATCTATACGGGGTCTCATTTCTCTGGAAGCTATCATAAAACTCTAGTGGCTTCCTAAGTTTATCCACGCACTTAGGGAGCACCAGACTCAAGGAAGTTCGTGGTGGTGTAAGGAGCACTAAGCAGGAGGAGGGGCACGCTTCTAGGAAGCCCCACCTCCAGGCCTGCGGGTCAGCACCCTGCAGCCCCGCAGTGCCCCTGCCCCGGAGCTGACGATCCACAGCCCATGGAACAAAGGTTCATTTGAACTCTCAGGAGAAACCATGGACACAAAAAATTACTTTCCAAAACATCTCCACGTAATTAAAACTGGTTACTCATTTGAAAATGTTTAGATAAGGATCTGTGCCATTTTTTTTTTGGAAAGGTTTTTGCTATAGGGCACCTGCGCTTGCCAGAAAGAGAGACAGAAAGCGAGAAATCACCCCCCAGGGGGGATGGCCATGCCGCTATCCCTTCTCCTCCATTCTCTCGGGCTCTTGGGCACACACGCACACGCGCCTGGCGTGAGTTTAAGCCGCTGGGTCCAGGACTTGAATCGCGGTCGACTACATGGGAATCCAGCCACATAGCCATTACGCTAACTGCTGGTCCCAGGATCTGTGCCTTTCTCAAGGTGATCAGAAATTGTGAAGAAAAGAGCTGGAGTGGTAGTCATGTAAGTGAAAAATTTATTTAAAATGATTTGTAAAGAAGGGAGAACAAAAGTTAAGTCTTGGTTGCTTCTGTTCGAAATGAGTATCTACTAGATCAGTCCTATTAAATCATAAGGGCGATGCCCATCACAGCAATATTTTACCGTCTGACTCCATTTTCAGAAATGAACTGACGACAATCGTACACTGTCTATGATTACAACAGAGGCATTTGTAAATAGTCAGGTTTGTCATCCAGAGTGTTACATCTCTGGTGGCTGATGTCGCTTTACCTGGATAAACATATTATTTCTAGAAATATGATCGACAAAATGAATACCTACGTTCCAGAGGTTCCACTTGTTGGTGAATCAGTATCGTATCTATCTATTAGGGCACAAAGAAAATGAAGTTGGATGTACGTCAGATGATTTTTAGCCAGCCAAATTAATATTTATGCTTTTATTGTTCAGTACTACATATAATCAATTACTAATATTCATCAATGTTGTCAAGTTTTAATAATAGCTTACATTACCTTTTTATGGAAAACTAAAGTTATTGTTTTTATTTTTTAAAAACAATGATTGAAGTTTACTTATTTATTTATTTTAATTTGAACAGAGAGGGACAGAGTGAGACAGAGAAAGAAAGAGAAAAGGAAACTAAGAAAGCAAGCTGCCAGGTCTGGGACCTGAACTGTGGTTGGCTATGTGGGAATCCAGCACCCTTAACCACCAGACCACCTGCCATTATTGTTTTTGAATCTACTTTATTTGCTTATTTAATGTAAGAGAGAGATAGATGGAGGTGGGGGGAGAAGTACCCTTGACAGGATCTGGCTACACTGCAGTCCTCCCCTAAACCTCCAAGTCCGCCAAGGTCGCAGACATATAGAGTATTTCTGGCCTGCTCCTGTTGACCCAGAATCTGTTTTTTGGTTGGTTTGTTTGTTTTTTGGAGAGGTTTTTGCTATAGGGCACGTGCGCTAACCAGAAAGACAGAGACAGAGAGACAGAAAGCAAGAAATTACCCCCCAGGGGGGATGGCCACGCCACAATCCCTTCTCTTCCTTTCTCCTCTTGGGATCTTGGGTACACACGCACATGTGTCTAGTGTGAGTTTAAGCCACTGGGTCCAGGACTCAAACCGTGGTCGACTACATGGGAGTCCAGCGATATAGCCATTATGCCAACTGCTGGTCCCTGACTCAGGATCTGAACCTACGTCTCCTGTGGGGCTCCAGTATTGCAAAGGGGTACTCTACTACTTATACATCTATAGCTGGACCTAAAGTTAACATATTTTTAATTGAAAATTTATCTACTGAAAACATTTACTATTAATGTGGGCAACTACAGACCAGATATAATTCAGTTACACTAGAATCTCTACAATAATTAGAAAACCATGTTCCCGCTAGCAAGGCTTAAGATATATAAAGATAGTTTTTATCCATTTAAAGAGCTTTTTTGTACAAATCTCAAAATTATTCCTTTTAGGTGTGCTTGATATCATCATTTTAGGAAGTGATCATTTCTTCTATATATTTTATGAGATCCTAGTTTTTTGTTTTTTTTTTTTTAATCTGTTTCAGGGCCAACTGGCGGCATGGTGGTTAGGGCACTGGACTCTCACATGGCCGACTGTGGTTCAAGTCCCTGACCTGGTGGCTTGTTTTCTCACTTTCCTATTCTTTCTTTGTCTATCTCCGGTGAGCTCATGTGCCCTGTAGCAAACTGAAAAATGACAGTAATGATAAATACAATTACACACATAATTCTTAAAAGAAAATCTGTTTTCAGGGCATTTACTGGAGAAATATGAACTATTAAATGTTTTTGTAATATACCAAATACATTTTCGGAAATTAAGTTAGTATAGAGAGTACAAGAGAGAATTCATTTACAGAAAATTGGTTGGATGAGGCCAGCAGGTGGCGCGGTGGTTAAGGGAACTGGATTCCCACATGACTGACCGTATTTGAATCCCAGACCTGGCAACTTTCTTGCAATTCCCCAACACTCTGTCCCTCTCTGGTCAAATCAAAATAGATAAATAAATACATTTAAATAAAATAATTATTTTTTAAAAAGAAAATTGATTAGATATCATAGAAATTTTAGTTTCTAGATTGGAAACACAGAATAGTTTCATACTATCATACCTTCCCAATTTCTGACACTAAATAAATACTAAACTTCACAATGGTTAAACAAGCATAATCATGAAGGATATTTTCCCCCTGTGGCTGGCATTTTATTTTGAGAGAGGTTTTTGCTATAGGGCGCGTGCACTCGCCAGACAGAGAGAGGCAGAGAGACAGAAAGCAAGAAATCACCCCCGGGGGGCGGGGGATGGCCACGCCGCAATCCCTTTTCCTCCATTCTCCTCTCGGGATCTTGAGCATGCACGCACACGGGCCCGGTGTGAGTTTTAAGCCACTGGGTCTGGGATGCGAACCGCAGTCAACTACATGGGAATCCAGCAACATAGCCATTACCTCTCTCTCTGGTCAAATTAAAAAAAAAAAAAAAAAGAATAAACAAACAAAATTAAATAAATAACTATTTTTAAAAAATTAGATCTTCCAAAAAACAAAAATAACATTCTGAAAGTATAATTTTACTAATTATTTTTTAAAAAGAGAATTGCCATACTCTACATAAAATATTAACTTCGTTTTTCATACAAGTTACTAAAGCTGAACTCTAAGCTTTACTAAAAGTTGCCTTCCAATGTCAAGGAAATGGTTCAGTATTGGGATTAAAGAACACGGGATCTAGAATGAAGTCACTTGTAATAAAAAGCCAGTCCCTGGGACCAGCAAATGGTATGGTCAAGTCCCACATGAACCACAGTTCAAGTTCTGGACCTGGCAGCTCTCTCTCTTTCTCTCTCTCTCTCTCATTCCGTCCCTCTCTGGTCAAATTTAAAAATAAAAATAAATAAATAAAGTTAAATAAAATAATTATTTTTTAAAAAGCCAGCCCCACTTCCTTGTGTTCTTGCTCTGAGCCAGTCATATACCGTCTCTGGGTCTCAGTTTCTGTCTTCATAAAGTGATGATGATTACAGTATCTACATATCACACAGTTTCTGTAAAGATTAAGGGAATTAATGCATGTATTATATATTAGGATAAAGCCTAGAAAATATTACTTATAAAAGCTGACTTTTGATATCACACATTATACTCAAGTTCATAGAAAACACATTTAGCTAAGAAAATTATATTATAAAGATACACTTAAAAATGAACCTAACCGGGACCAGCAGTCGGTGTAATGGCTATGTCGCTGAACTCCCATGTAGCCAACAGTGGCTCAAGTTCCGAGCAGGGTGGCTTAAACTCATGCAGGGTGTGCGTGTGTGTGTGCCCAAGATCCCGAGAGGAGAATGGAGGAGAAGGGAATGCTGCATGGCCACCCCCCTCCGGGGGTTGATTTCTCACTTTCTGTCTCTCTGTCTCTGTCTTTCTGGCGAGCGCACACGCCCTATAGCAGAAACCTCTCCAAAAATAAGAAAAATGAACCAAGAAATGGAGAGATTATTTAATAAACTATCTTATTTGGAATTTTCAACTTTAATGAATAAATAGTAAGTAGATATGTTAGTAATCATAACCTGGAAAGTAAGTTGGAAACAAAGTTTTATTTTTTATGAGTATTTTCTATTTGAATTACCAGGGTTAAATATTCCAGTCCAGGTGGGCAGTTCAAGTGAGCTGGTGGTACGGGCATCCAGGGCATCTGTGCAGCGTCACCAGGCCTCTGGTACCCGGGCTGACTTTGGACATAAGCTGCTGGTACCATATGTGGGGAAGCAGCCTCGGTCTTAGGAAGTCCTGAAGGTACTAAAATAGAAATGTGAGTGATAATCTGTAACTGCAAAGATAAATGGAAACATCAATGCTTTTAGCATCACATTAGCTATCTGCACACTGACCTCACAGTTCAGAAATGCCGTATCCATGAAGCGCACAGTGTAGTCTCTCAGAGATTTTTTTGGCAAGATATGTGTGGTTTCAAAACCACTTCCATTTTGAGGGCAGTGGCCTGTGTGCAGAGGTAACTCATGGCCTTGCCTTTACCATTCAAAACTCAGATAGAAAACATGTTGGTTTTTTTTTTTAAATATATACTTATTTAATTTTATTTATTCATTCATTTATTTTCATTTGACCAGAGAGAGACAAAGAGAGAGAGAAAGTGAGAAAGCAAGCCACCGGGTCTGGGACTCAAACCATGGTAGGCCATGTGGGAGTGTCCAGAGTCTTAATCACCATGCCACCTGCTGGTCCCTGGAAAATATGTCTTTATACCTGAAAAAGTATAGGAAAACCATCCATGATCTAGATTCACCTATAAAGATGCCTTCATGAATAAAGAAGATGGCCTTGGGTAGGAAGCCCAAAATACAGGCTTTGAGTAATCTCTAGGATCAAAGTATTGTATAAAAATAATTCTGGGGGCTGGCAGGTGGCGTGGTGGGTTAGGAGTGCTGGACTCCCACGTGGCTGATGCAGTTCAAGTCCCAGACCTGGCAGCTTGCTTTCTCACTTTCCCTATCTCTCTCTTTTATTCTGTCCCTCTCTGGCCAAATTAAAATGAATGAATAAATAAATAAATAAATAAATGTCAATAAAATAATTCTTAAAAAAAAATTCTGGAATTCTAACAAATGGCATTCCCTGTATGTACAGGACTAGGGGAGGTTTTTTCCTCTCCAAGAGTATTTGGAAGGACTAGGCATGTTAATATTTACCACAGTTGAAGGGGAAATCACTCTTGGCAATATTTTCATTTGCTGTGTAGAAGTCAGAGATGCTGTTAGATATCTTAAAATGCCCGTAACTACCACCTGGAAACAAATATTCATCCCAAAATACTATAGCGCCACTGTAGACAAGCTCTGGTATAGAGGGAGAGGCATGCCATTCTTACTAGTACTTTCCAGGTACCTGTCTGTGTTAACAGTTTGCCTAGAATTTTAATTCACTGCATGTACCTCTTCTAAATTTCAGTTTTTAATCTATTATGGTATTTGGGTTCAAAATTTTAATTTAACAAGTTAACATTTTCAGTTCTCTTCTATATACAGTTTGAGTGATAAGAAGGGCAAAAAGTTATAACTGGAAAATTTTTCTTGAGTATTTATTAGGCAGAAGACATTTAACATATTTTAATAGCTTATGTAAATGGGTAATTGCAATGACGTAGAAGTTTATTTGTGTAGTAAAGGCTATCAATTCCATAGTAACAATGTAATTTCAAAATACTGTGTTTATAATATTTTATTGGGTCACTGAAAAAGTCATGACACATTTTTGCATAGAAAAACATAGAAAAATAGGTCACAGCTTTTCTAATTACCCAATAGCAGTCAAGTCCATGTAAAAGCCTTAGACTAGGTAACACAAGGCAAGCAGATGGCATGGTGGTTAAGACACTGGATCTCACATGGCTTTAACCACCAAGTCCCAGACCTGGTGGCTTGAAAAACACCCAGGTACGTGGGCATGCCTGCATAAAATCTCAAGAGAACAATGAACGCAAAGGGATTGTGGCATGGCCCAGGGGGTAATTTTTAGCTCTCTTCTTCTTTGTGTCTCTCCTTTGAGCAATATTGCCCAAAAAACTAAAAAATGAACAAAGGAACAAACAAAAAAGAATAGGCAATACATTTAAATTGATCATTGTGACAAAATTCATTCATCATTTAAAAAATAAGGTTTAGCAACAGCTTTACACCTCATACTAAAGCTTTATACACACAGCTTCTATAATGCATTCCTTTTACAATGACCAGATATTTACAGGTTATCTATAATAAGCTCAATCATAGAGCCAGGTGACATTAGCCATCAAGAAGACATTCTGCTCTCAGGGAGCTTACAATTTATTTCTGGGAGAAAGACAATATTTTCCTTTTAAAAAATTTTCTACGAGGTGTGTGTGCTTATCTCACAGAGACAGAGAGTGAGCAAGCAAACATCCCCCAAGGGGGATGGCCATACCATAATCCTTTCACCTCTCAGAATCTTCAGCACACATACATGCACACCTCGAGTGGTTTTCAAGCAGCCAGGTCCAAGATGCAAACTGCATGGGAAGCCATGTGGAATCTAGCTGCCTTAACCACTCTGCAACCAGTTGGCCCAGGAAAATAAATTAAAAAGAAAAACTGATTGACCAGATATATAAAATATACAAGGGAGACTGCAGAGTATGAGGTGTTTAGACAGATACAATTTATGTTGAGATCTAAAGCATTTCAAGAGATAAGATTTATAGGAAGATCTGCTAGGAAATGCTCCAGGAGAAAAGAAAAACAAATGCAAAAACTCTGAATTGTCAATGAATTTGACCTGCTTGTCAAAGAGAGCAGACATGATAAGAGAAAGGACGAATGAGAATGGCTGTTAGTAAAACAGTAGGAAGCAGTTGATGTAGTGAGGCCCTTAGTAAGGAGTCTGGATTTTATCTCAGTTGTGATGGGCAGGCATCGGAGAACTTTAAACAGAAGAACAAATTCCATAATCTCACATTTTGTAAAGTTTTTAGAAGTTCCAAACATCAGAATTTACAATGAGAAACACTGTCACAGATAATCAGAAACTTAAAATATATACAAGATAAGTTAACAACAGATTTAATGTCATAAAGAGAAAGTAAATATTTCATTTACTTACTTTGTTTGGCCATGATTTAAGTAATTCTGAAAAAGAAGACCTAATATTAATATATTGCCTATGCATTTATAGACCAATTAAACACAATTGTTGAAAAATACATTCTAAAAACTATAGTCGTACCATGAGGTATTTTTCTTGATTCATCTAGCCCAGCCTTATCCAGTCATTTAAACCTTTTGGTCTTGACGGTCACTGCTTTATTCTCACTGGAGTAAACACTTATTCCGAATACAGGTTTGCCTTTTCAACACACGCTGCTTTAGCCAAAACTACCACTCACGGATTTACTATTACACTGTCATGGTATTCCACATAGCACTGCTTCTGACCAAGAAACTCACTTCACAGTGGGGGAAAAAGCATGGGAATGGGCCAAGGCTCATGAAGTTCACGAATCCTACCCTTTTCCCCACCATTCTGAAGCAGTTGGCCTGACAGAATGGTGGAATGTCCTTAAGAAAATTCAGTTACAGTGTCAAGGAGGTAACAGTACCTTACAGGTGTGAGGCAAAACTCTTAAACTGTGTACAGTCTGAATCAGGATTTGATATACGATACTGTTTCTCCCATAGCCAGGCTTCACAGAATCAAGAGATGGAAATGGGAGTTATTCTACTCACTCTTACCCACAGCGACACAGTAGCATCTTACCTGCTTTCTGTTTAATGTGAATTTTGCTCTACTGGCTTAGAGTTCTTAGTTCCACAGGGAAGAGCACTTTCACCAGGAAACAGCAATGATTCCACTAAACTATAATCCAAGTTAAGAGACTGCCATCCAGCCACTTTGGGCTTCTTGTGCCTGGAATATAGGTCATCTCTTAAGGGACTCCTTAGCATTACCATGTCCTGTGAGTACAGTGAAGGGAAAGCTACAACGACTCAATACAGGCAGAACAAAGAATGGCTCAGCCTTTTAGGAATAACTGTCTGGGTCCCTCTACCAGGTAAAGAACCCAGATCAGCTGAGGTATTTGCTAGAGGCAAAGAGAAATGCTAGTGAGTAGAGATGGTTATAGATACCAGTTACCACCACATGGCCAATGATAGAAGGAAAGATTGCCAATGCCATGATTATTTTCTCCTTATTTTTCTAGGCATAACGTGTTTGTGTGTATTCCTGTTTCCTTTCTTAATTCTTATTCTGTAACATAAGATATATTAACTTTATGTCATAGTGTTTAATTATTTTTCATTTGAATCATAATATATGTTACTCAATATCGAGGACAAAAGCCATTCAAGGACCTTAACTTTTCTTTGAGGAAAGAGGTTAGTGCATTTTCAGTTGTGCTCAGAATAGTTATAGCATGTTAGGTGGAATTATAATCTTGTTTTGCATTTATTTAGAGAGTAAGTATAGTTTAAGGAGATACATATAGGTGTCAAGTTGATAAGAATTGGACTTGTGGTTAATTTTATGTGTCAGCTTGACTAGCCACAGGCTAAGATGAAACCTTATTGCTGGGTGTGTCCACGGGTATTTCTGGATGGAAATTTCATTTGAACCCATGGACTGAGTAATTAGGCACCACTACCTAGTGTGGATGGGCTTCATCTATTCCTCTGAGGTTATGAATAGACCAGAAAGTGATGGAAAGAGAATTCACCCCATACTGCCATGTTGCCTGGGCTAGAAGATCTCTTGTTCTCAAGAATCCTTCTCCTCAGGCCTTTAGATATAGACTGGGTACACAAATTTGCTCCTCTGGTTCTTAGAATTTCAGACACAGTTCAACTGATACTATTGACTTTCCTGGGTCTCTTTCACAGACCACAGATTGTGGGATTTTTTTATTTGGCATAAATGTAACAAGTCAATTTCTTACAATAAATCTATTTCTTTCATATACATCCTAGTGTTCTAGAGAACCCTGACTAATGGGATGGATCTCTCTCAAGACAATATGGTTTGAATGTCCTTGCCAAATTTTATGTTAAAGTTTGATTGCTATTGGGACCAGCAGTTGGCGTAATGACTATGTCACTGGACTCCCATGTAGTTGACCATGGTTCATGTCCTGGACCCAGTGGCTTAAACTCATGCCAGGTATGTGTGCATGCGTGCCCAAAATTCCGAGAGGAGAATGGAGGAGAAGGGATTGTGGTGTGGCCATCCCCCCTAGGGGGGTGATTTCTCACTGTCTGTCTCTCTGTCTCTCTCTGTCTTTCTGGCGAGTGCACACACCCTATAGCAAAAACCTCTCCAAAAAAGAAAAAAAAAAGTTTGATTGCTACTGTAATGGTATTAAAATATAAGGCCTTCCTTGTTTTGCCACTTTCCCTCTCTCTTTCACTCTCACTAGCTCTGTCCCTCTCTGTTCAAATTTACTTAGTTTTTTTAAAATAATTTTTTAATTTAACTTTATTTATTTATTTAAATTTGACCAGAGAGGAAAAGAGTGAGAGAGAGAGAGGGAAAGCGAGAAAGCAAGTCACCAGGTCTGGGACTCAAGCTGCAGTTGGCCATGTGGGAGTCTCAATAATCATGCCATCTGCTGACCCTATCAAATTTAACTAAATACATTTAAATAAAATAATTGTTTAAAAAATAAGGAAAGAAAAATAAAAAGAAAGGGGCTGGCAGGTGAATGGTGGTTAAGGGTGCTGGGCTCCCACATGGCCAACTGCGATTTGAATTCCAGACCTGGCAACTTGCTTCCTCACTTTCCCTCTCTCTCTCACTCTGAAATGTTCTGTCCCTCTCTGTTCAAATTTAAATAAATAAAGTTAAATAATTTTTTTTTTTTTTAAAAAAAAGGTATGAGGCCTTCCGGAGGTGATTAAACCATGAGGGCAGAACCATCATTAATAGATTAATACCAGCATCCAGAGAGGGGGTGAGTGTCTCTGGAGTGGGTTCTTGATAAAAGGGTACCTTTGGCTCTATTTATCTGTCATATCCTTGCGTCTATCTTTTAGTCATTAGATGACCCTTGTCAGATGTCAACATCATACTCTTAGATGTCCCAGTCTCCTGAACCATGAGTCAAATAAACCTCTGCTCTTTATAAATGACCCAGTACATGATATCTGATAGAGCAGGAGAAAATGGACTAAGCTTTCATTCATTCAGTAATTGATTGAACTATGTCCTGGTTGCATTAGTTAATTAATTTAACACGGTAACATAAAATAATTGCTTCAACACTCTTCCTAAAAAACAAATTCTGGAAAGATTTCAGGACAAGAGAAAATCTTGTTCAAGAAAACGAAGTCTGTAGTAAAGTCAAATCACTCTCAGTAGGACTGTAATTACTCTAGGGCAAATATATTTTTTAAATTACAATCTAATTACTGTATACTTCTTCTTAACTCTGTTATATGACCACTTTGAAGTAAATTGAAGCATCTCATACTATACACATGCAAGTACATCTCTTAAAATAATTCTAGCAGAAATCTTAAGTGTCCTGGGCCAGCAGGTGGCATGGTAATTAAGGTGCTGGAATTTCCACATGACCAACCACAGTACAATTCCTGGACCTGGTGACTTGCTTTCTCACTTTGTCTCTCTCTCCTTTTCTGGCAAAACTCATGTGAAAAAATAATAATAATAATAAATTAATTAAACAAATCATTTTTTTTAAAAAAATGAAAAATTCTTTAAAAAGTTTAAGAAACTTTAAGCACAATTTGTATTACAGCTATTAAATAATCTTTCTAAGAGGCCATGGATTTGATGTGAGCTCCAATACTAGAACCCCAACAGATCCCAAACTATTATAAAATGGGGTCCCTTATGCTAAAGTTCCATATCACCAAACTTAAATGAAATCGTTTCTCTAAGAATGCAGAAAGAAAATAGCCAAATCTGCAAACAGATCAGTTTTATCAAGCATAATAAGGAAGTCTTCTCTGCTTTAACTTTTACAAGGACAGTAACACATTAACCAATCCACTTTTGATATCATGCTGTTGCCTAGTTCCTGCTCAAGCTACCGTATACAATACAACTCTTGTGCCTTGCCCAATGTAACACCTATTTTTGGATGAAATGCTGCTGTATTCGAGAATTGGTTAAAAAAAAAAGTTAATTAAATCTTTTTTATATTTGTTGAATTTTTTGTTTTGACACAGCTAAACCCTTCTCTTAGAGACCTGGCATTTCTATCTTATTGCTTTCTTTTTTTTAATTATTTCTTTAATTTTATGTATTCATTCATTCATTTTATTTATTCATTCATTTACTTTAATTTAACCAGAGAGAGTCATGGAGAGAGAGGGAAAGTGAGAAAGGAAGCCACCAGGCCCGGGACTCAAACTACGGTCAGTCATGTGGGAGTGTCCAGCGACTCAACCACCATGCTACCAGATGGTCCCCCTTACTGCTTTCAAAAAGTATTAATATAAAATCTGAAACCCAAAGGGTTCTTAATTTCAGAAGATCCTAAAACTACTGTGCCTATGAATGAAACACAAACTAGATGTGGTTTATTTATCTGCACTTACTTGCTCACTGTCTAAGGCAAAAATCTCCCTTCTCACTCCCCCAAAACATGAGATAAACAAGTCTGCATTCTTCTAAAGTCCCCAAGTGGAATATAAACTCTTGTTTAAAAACAATTACAAGATTTTGCACTGGGTCTCTGGCCGAGTGGTAAACGCAGATGGATCCCACATGGCCAACCCCACAATTCGAGTTCTGGACCTGGCGGCTTGAAAAATACACCAGGCGCATGTGTGTGCATGCCCAAAATCCTGACAGGATGAAGAAATGAAGAAGAAGAAATTACGGTGTGACCATTGGGAGGTGGGAGGCTTTCTCTCTCTGTCCCTATGCCTATCTGGCAAGCACATGTGCTCTACAGCAAATTGTTTTTTGAAAAGTACTTATGAGAATTGAGAGTAGGGGAGGAGGAGAAGATAACATTTCCTAAGATAAGTCACGAATCAAATAAGTTCCATGTTATTCAGGATATATTTGTAGGCACATTTTGTGCATTTAAAAAGGCTTAATTAGGGGGCTAGAAGGTGGCTTAGTGGTTAAGGGCCCTGGACTCCCACATGGCTGACCATGGTTTGAGTCCTGGACCTGGCGGCTTTTTCTCTCTCTCTGTGTCTCTCCCTCTTCAAATTAAAATAAATATAGATAAAATAAATATTTTTTAAAAGGCTTAATTAGCATCTAAAAGAAATAAGATCTCATCTATTGAATTGTGGTTTTAGTAAAAGTTAAGCACAGCAAGAATAAACACATTTACACAAATGATTGGGGCAAGAAGTTGGTGAGCATTTAGTAAACCAGACTTGTAAGATCTGAGATGAAAGGGGGGTGACTGAGAACAATTATAAAAGCAAAGTATCTTATAATGGGGAGTCTTCCTATAAAAATCCACTCTTACAGCCTCAAGAAAACAAAATTAAAATCTTTAGAATCAGTTTGTGACCACCTTTTATAGTATTTCATAGTAAACCTTGCAAAGTAAATCCAACTGTAAAGGTGGTGGTGAAGTAGTCTTTAAAACTGACAAGCAAGCCAAACAGCTAAATAAACAGGAACGCTTTAAATCAGTTCTTCTCGCTCCATGGCTTTATTACTCCGGAAAAGTCTTTCCTGACAACCCAGAGCTCCCTCACAATTTAATGTTTCCTTTCCTCTTAACAACGGAGGAATCTAAGCCCTTAGATATGAAATGGTTACTTAATGTCACCCAGCTCACAAGCTCAGTGCAAATCATCATTCATACCCTTTGCACTCATGTTCCTATTTCACAGAAAAAGAAAAAAAAAAATGGGATTCTCGGCCTGGCAGGTGGCATAGTGGTTAAGGAAGCTGGAGACCTAGACCTATGTGGCCGACCGTAGTTCCGAGTCCCAAACCTGGCAGCTTGCTTTCTCACTTTCTCTCTCTCTCTTTCTTCTACTCTGTCTCTCTCTGGTCAAATTAAAATAAATGAATAAATAAATAAAGTTAAATAAAATAATTCTTCAAAAAATTTTTAAAAAAATGGAATTCTTGGGACCAGCAGTTACCATAATGGTTATGTCGCTGGACTCCCACGTAGTCGACGTGGTTCCAGTCCCGGACCCGGTGGCTTAAACTCACGCCAGACACATGTGCATGCGTGCCCAAGATTCCAAGAGGAGAATGGAGGAGAAGGGATTGCGGTGTGGCTATCCCCCCTGGGGGGTGATTTCCTGCTTTCTGTCTCTCTGTCTCTCTCTGTCTGTCTGGCGAGCACATGTGCCCTATAGCAAAAAAAACTCTAAAAAAAATGGAATTCTCTCAAAAGATCAACGTTCATCGAAATAAGTTGAAGATTATCTTTAAGGCATCTTTCTTATACTAGACAGAAAAGGCTTACATTTCAATTTACCCTTGTGGCTATTTAGTTTTTACTGCATAGGAGACATTTTTCTAAGCACTTTTAATTTAATTTTATTTTTTGGAAAGATTTTTGCTATAGGGCATGTGCATTCATCAGAGAGACAGAGAGACAGGAAGTGAGAAATCACCCCCCAGGGCGGATGGCTATGCTGCTGGGTCTGGGACTCGAACTGCAGATGAGTCTAGCGACATTTGAAATATGAAAGCTATAATTGTTAGGACTGATTAACTAGAGTGCTTTGGCTTTTAAATTTAGCACCAGTCAAGATAGTGCCATCGTGTGTATGTGTGCATACCTGTACACAAGTGTGCATATGTATATTCTCATGTATAATCATATAAATGCATAAACATTCACTTGGTATACAGCTTGTACTTTGCTTTTTTGAGAACTACCGATTGAAGGGGCCGCCAGGTGGCGTGGTGGTTAAGGGCACTGACTCCCACGTGGCTGACTGTGGTTTGAGTCCCAGATCTGGCAACTTGTTTTTTCACTTCCTTCTCTCTTGCTCTGTCCCTCTCTGGTCAAATTTAAATAAATAAATAAATAAAGTTAAATAAATAATTACTCTTTTAAAAAAAAATAACTATTGTTTGAAGGTATCAAGCACATAAGATACTGTACCAGAAACTAGGAAAAAATACGGAGAGTGCAATAAACACAGATATTTCCCAGCATGTTATATGAGCCATACATTATGTATAATACAGATATAACAGTATAAGTGCACGTGTAGATATACAAATGCATCGAGTATTAGGAATAAAAATAACGGTGCTATAAAATAAATGGTTATGGGGGCACTGGTTTGGATGGGCATGTTGATGGCGGAAGGAATTCAGGTATAAATTTTTAAAAGTCTAAAGTCAGTCCTGGGGCTGGCAGATGGTGTGGTGGTTAGGGGTGCTGGACTCCCATATGGCCGACTGTGGTTCGAGTCTCGACTTGGTGGCTCACTTTGTCACTTTCCCTCTCTCTCTCCCCATCCCTCTCTGGTCAAATTACAATAAATAAATAAATAAAGTTAAATAAAATAATTATTTTTTTAAAAATGTCTAAAGTCAGTCCTGAAGCTAGGAGGAACCTGGGCCATTCGAGGAAAGATTTATAAGGCTACCAAGCAAAGGAGAGACATCCTTAGAGGTGAGGATGAAGAGGGGCCTGGAGCCAGTTTACCATGTCTGATGTCTCCACCTGCACGTGGAGTTCTCACAGGCCAGAGCAGGGCCTTGTTCAAGACAAAGCACTGCATCAAGCCTTCCGGATTCAACGACCAGTGTACACTGTTCTTTCTTTCCTTTGAATCAGTAAAAACACCACCGTACAGATACGAGGGCTGCTTAATCTACGGCCCCACCCAGGTACGTTACATGCCGCTCTTCTATCCAACTGCAGAAATCTATTTATCTCGTTTTTTCATTCTCTGGTGTTTGTTCATTGTTCAAAGCCCTACAATAGCCACCAGGTGGTATTCAGAGAAAATTGTGCAGTAGTTTAAGAAAGAAAAAGGAGGGACCAGCAGATGGTGTAATGGTTAGGTTGTTGGACTCCTAAGTGGCTGTGATTTGAGTCCTGGACCTGGCACCAGGTATGTGCACACATGCCCAAAATCCCGAGAGGAGGATGAAGGAGAAGGGATTGCAGTGTGGCCATTTCTGGCTTTCTATCTTTCTGTCTCTGTCTGTCTCCCTTAGGAGTAAACACACCCTAGCAAATACCTCTGAGAAAGAAAGAAAAAGGAACCTGTGGGGCTGGCAGGTGGCATAGTGGTTAAGGCACTGGTCTCTCATATTGCTCACCATGGTTTGAATCCTGGACCTGGAGGCTTGCTTTCCTACTTTCCCTTTCTCTCTCTCTGGTCAAATTAAATAATAATGACTATAATAAATGAAATAAAATAATACTTAAAAAAAAGGAAGAAAAAGGAAGCTGGAAACTGCTTGTACTATAGGACAAGGCTTCCTTGTACATCATGTGTGTGAGATTGCTAACCCAGGAGAACCAATGACTGCTTGTTCCTGGAACTGGGAAGTGGGCGTGCCTAGACTTCCAGGAATAACGGCAAATAAGAACAAAACACATGGGAAAGCAGATAATGAGCCAAGGGAAGAGGGGACCTTGTCAAAAACGAAAACAGGAAAAGCCAACTTTACTTTCACTGAATGCTTTCTGTAGCGCCAGGCACTGTATAATAACATGACATAAATACCGGTAATACTCTGTAATTCTTCCAAGTGTTACCCGATTTCAGGAGTGAGGCAACAGAAGGAACAGAGCTATTTAGAAACTGGCTCAGGGCCTGCAGCGGCGGGATTCAAACTCGACTGACCTTTTCCCCTTCCTCCGGTATTCTAGAGTGCGTGTATTCTGCAGTTTGGGGCCCAACCATCCCGCCAGTTAATACTTACTGTTCAGGGCAGCGAGGAGGCCCTGCTAACCGTCCTTTCTAACACCCCCCATCCCTACCCTGGCGGCGCCTCCTGGGCCCCGGCTCTGGCCTTGATCCAGGGCTGCTGTGGGCGAGGGAAGGAAAGCCTGAGGCTGCGCAGAAGCAGAGTCCTGAGAAGGGTTTTCCTGCAGGGCCCGCTGTGCTCTTGGAACGGCTCCGAGGGGAACCAGGGGGCGCCTGCAGCCCCTTGCAGAGCCCCGGGGCACTTCTGGGGTAGCTGCCCGCTGCCTCTGGCCACTGCCCCTGCCCCGCCCTCTGACGCAGACACAATGAGGGTCCCCTGTTCCCCTCCCCCCAACTCCCAACACTCCCCAACCTGGCGGACCTGCGGCCCAAGGCTGCCCGGAGACCGTGGGACTTGCGCCTCCCAGAGGCGAGCGCGAGCCGAAGCCCGGGATCCTGGGCGCCCAGCTGAGGCTTTTCGCCCTTTGGCCTCCGGACTGCCGGGCACAGCTGTTGCTCCAGGATCCCCAACGTCAGTGGACGAGGAGTGACCTGGGCGCAGACACTGGGCGCGCCTGGTGTCGTTTCCTGGTTCCTACGTTTACAATAGTCGTAGTCCCCACGCTGGCGCCGGGTGTCCCGCCCGCTTTCTTGTTCCTGGGAGAAGCCCCGGAGACGTTTGTCCTGTGGTTACAGACAGCGAGGAACGGGGACTGCAACACCTCCCGGGCCTGGAAAGTCCTCGGCTGGGGATGGACCTGAGAACTTCTTTACTCCGGTTTTGACCCTCACCCGTCGTCGTCGCATTGCTGTGATGTTTCCAAGTGGGAGAAGTAAAGGACGGTTTAGGGTCTTCTATTATTCAGTCTGTTTACTTTTAGAGTCTTTAAACAGCTGCCTTATGTCCTGCTCATTTTGTTGCTTAGAATTACTTCAATTTTTATCATTATTATTTTGTTTTAATTTGCTATAGAGTATGTGCGCTCACCAAAGAGAGAGCGAGCCTGTGAGAGAAAGGTGCCAAGTCTGGGATTCGAACTGCAGTAGACCATGTAAGAGTCCCGTGCCTTAACCACCACGCCACTTGCTGGCCTTGTTTTTTTGTTGTTTCTGTTTTTGTTTTGATAGTGTAAGCAGGATGGACAGGATTGAGTATGCTTACTCCATTTTACCTGGACCTGGAGTCATTAGTTCTTCTTTATGTTAACACTGCGTATTATTTATGTTCTATTATGTATAAACACTGCGAACTACACAGAATGTAATGGACTTACCTGAAACTACAGTTTATAGATCTGATAATCCTGCTTTGCATATAAATTACGTGCAGAGAACAACAGCATCAATATTACATTAGCAAGTGTTTGTATTTGGGAGTTGGCATGCATAATGGTTTTGTGGTGGACTTCCATGTAGTCAACTGCGCTTCCAGTCTGGACCCAGTGGCTTAAAATTCATGCCAGAGGCATCTGCGTGGGTGCCCAAAAGCCCAAGAGGAGAATAGAGGAGAAGGGATTGCAGTGTGATCATCCCCCTTAGGAGGTGATTTTTAGTGCTTTCTGTCTCTGTCTCTCTCTGTCTTTCTGGAGCGCAAGCACCCTATAGCAATCCCTGACTACTTGGGATCTACCTATTAAACTTACTGGAAGAGTCCAGCCATCTCTTTTATTAGGACTCTCTAGGTAATTCATATACATGCCAGGGTTTGACAATAACCACTGTGTCAAAAAAAATCCTTATCCGATGGGTTGTATTAGTGGATATATCAGCTTTAAAACTGAACTAGAAATTATATTTTTTATAAAAGACAAAGTGATTAAATAATTTCACAATAACAACGCCTTATTTCTTTGTGTGCTGCTATAGCTGAATACCACAGACTAATTTAGAAATAATAGGAACCTGTTTCTCATGGTTCTGGAGGCAGACAGGGAAGTCCATGGTCAGGTGTCATCAGGTTTGATTTCTTTTTTCTTTTTCTTTTTTTTTTTTTTAAAGAACTAGTTTGTTTTAACTTTATTTATTTAAATATTCAAGTGAAAATACTTTGCAATTGGGGCCAGCAGGTGGTGTGGTGGTTAAGGGCACTGGACTCCCATATGACTGACCATGGTTCGAGTCCCAGACCTGGTGACTTGTTTTCTCACTATCAGTCTCCCTCTCTCTCTCTGGTCAAATTGAAGAAGATGAAGAAGAAATAAAATTAACTAATTTTTTAAAGTACTATGCAACTGTAATAGGCTCACATATCAAGTAAAAAGCAAGCTTTTACTTTTTTGTTATTAAATGCAATAGGGCACATGAGAGAGAGAGAGAGAGAGAAACCATGCTCTTCCCTCACTTCTCAAATCAGGGCCTGTTCATACTGTGGTCCCTTTCCCTTCAAATCCCAGGAAGATCCTGGGCATACATGCATGCCCAGTGTATTACCTACCGCAGGGCCAGGACTCAAACCCCAGAAGGCCACATAAGATCCGGTTCTTTTTGTATAGCACTTACCTGCAGGACTGTAGGGCCAACACTCCCTCTTTTTTAAAGGTAGAATCTCAGGTCATGATCCTTCTGCCTGTCCCCAGCTGGGACTATATGCCCATGACACCATGCTGGCTCTTTTTAGACAGGATTTCGTTACATTGCTCAGGCCAGCCTTGACTGATCCTTCTGCCTCAGCCTCCCGAGTGACTGGGATTACAGACATTTGCCACTGTGACCAGCCTTCAGATTGGACCAGGAGTTGAAGGCAGACTGCCCACGTGGTCCCGGCCTGCAGAGCAGTGTTTTAGCAGTGTACCATCTCAGCTCTGGGAGACTTTCACTTTAAAGGGAAAAATGCCGGTTACATAATAGTACATAACACGTCACACCACTGTGGTCCTTATCATCAACGTGCTGGGTATCTTAGTCCATTTTGTGTTGCTAACATATAACAGGCTGGGGAATTTAAGAGACTAGAGGTTTATGGGGCTGGCAGGGGGCATTATGGCACCCACATGGCCAATTGCTGTTCGAGTCCTGGACCTGGAGACTTGATTTCTCACTTCCCCTCTCTTTGTTTCTCACTCTGTCCTGCTCTGGTCAAAGTTAAATAGATAAAGTTAATAAAATTAATTATTAAAGAAAAAAAGAGAGAATAGAGGTTTATTTGACAGACTCACAATTCCACAATTCTGGTAGCTGGAAAGTCCAGAAGAACTTACTTTGTTCAAGTCTGCCCTTACCCACATGAAGAGTTTCTCTGTGGGAACTTCACATCATTCTTTTAGAGAGCAGAGTGGGATCTGTCATGAAGAGTAGTGAACAAGAAAACAGGAATTATCAAGAGTTATTCAAATATTCAAATTTCCAGGGTATATACTTTGTGTCACAGATTGGAAAATGGCCAATGAACAAAGTCTATGCAAATCTTTTGCAAAGTTTTTTGGGTTTTTTTTTTTTTTTTTGCATTCCCCCAAATCTACTAATTTACATTAACTGAGACTCTTTTTAAAAAGAAGTTATATTTTCTTTTATTAAGACTGATTTTCTTTAATTTTATTCATCATCATCATTATTATTTTAATTTGACCAGAGAGAAACAGAGACAGAGATGGAGAGAAAATAAGAAAGCAAGCCACCGGGTCCAGGACTTTACCCGCGGTTGGCCATGTGGGAGTCCAGTGCACCTAACCACCATGTCACTTGCTGGTCCCAACTGAGACTCTCTGTTCACCCATCCAACTCACAGGTGACCTGCAGCTCCCGGTAAACATGCAGAAAGGAAGGCACGGCAATCTAATTAAAGGCTGCTGAGACAGCTCTTGTTGCCAGTTTACCTATATCAGAAAATAAAATCCCACCAGTCTGAGGCCTAGGACTTTCGATCTATTGAAACTGGTGAGAATACATGATTTATTAGCTCTACTGGTTCTGACTTTTACAAATATGTTCTTATTGAGGACCAGCAGGTGATGTGGTGGTTAAAGCACTGAACACTCCCACATGGTCAACCAAGGTTCAAGTCCCAGACCTGGTGGCTTGCTTTCTCACCCCAACCCCCTCCTATGTGTCTCACTCTGGTCAAATTAAAAAAAAAAAAAATGAATAAAATTAAATAATTGTTTAAAAAATTTTTAAATATGTTCTGATTAACATTATAATGATTGTAATATGTTTTCCATAATTGCCTATTTAACCTCAAATGACAGGGCTTCATTGTTCTTGTTTTGGTGTTTTCTTAAGAGGTTTTTTTTTTTTTTTTTTTTTTTTTTTTCTTTTGAGGTCACGAAGGAGACAGAGAAGGACAGAGAGACAGAAAGTGAGACATCACCTTCCCAGGGGGGATGGCCATGCCACAATCCTTTCTTCTCTGTTCTTCTCTTGGGACTTTGCGTATATCCGCACATGCGCCTGGTATGAGTTTCAAGCCTCTGAGTCTGGGACTCGAACTGTGGTCAGCCATGAGGGAGTCCAGCAATGAAAACACTACACCATCTCCTGGTCCCAGGATCTCATTGTTTTTATTGACTGAATAGTAGTCCATTGAGGCCAGCAGGTGGCGTAGTGGTTGAGGGGATTGGAACTCCCTTTGCGTATATCCGCACATGCGCCTGGTATGAGTTTCAAGCCTCTGAGTCTGGGACTCGAACTGTGGTCAGCCATGAGGGAGTCCAGCAATGAAAACACTACACCATCTCCTGGTCCCAGGATCTCATTGTTTTTATTGACTGAATAGTAGTCCATTGAGGCCAGCAGGTGGCGTAGTGGTTGAGGGGATTGGAACTCCCACATGGCTGATCACAGTTCAAGTCCTGGACCTGGCAACTTGCTTCCTCACTTTCCGTCTCTCTCACTCTGTCCCTATCTGGTCAAATAAAAATAAAGACATAAATAAATAAAGTTCAATAAAAATAATTATTTAAAAAATAGTCCATTGTGTGTGTGTGCATATATACATAAATATATGTATATAATATGATATTAATATAAGTGACATATATACACACACAGCCATACACATATACCACGTTACCCATTTACCTGCTGATAGACTTAGGTTGATTTCATAACTTGGCTACTATGAATAGTGCCATAATAGAGACACAGATGGCATTACTACATAATTATTCACTTTCATCTAGTAGTAGGATTGCTGCATTGTATAGCAGCTATATATTAGGTTTTTTTTTTTTTTTTTTTGAGAGGTTTTTCACTATAGGGCATGTGCGCTCGCCAGACAGACACAGACATAGAGACAGAAAGTGAGAAATCACCCCCAGGGGGGATGGTCACGCCGCAATCCCTTCTCTTCCATCCTCCTTTCGGGATCTTGGGCATGTACGCACACGCGCCCGGCGTGAGTTTTAAGCCACCGGGTCCGGGACGCGAACTGCAGTCGACTACGTGGAAGTCCAGCGACATAGCCATTACGCTAACTGCTGGTTCCTATATTAGGTTTTTTTGAGAAATCTTCACAGACAGAGGGAGAAAGCACCCCACACACACATGGCATGTGGTCACAATCCCTACTCTATTTTCCATCCTGTCGTGATCTGGGGCATGCAAGTGCATGGATTAGGCATGCTTTTCAAGCTACCAGGGCCAGGATTCTAACCACAGCCAACCATGTTATAAATATGTAACATATCCTCAAATCTCATTGAGATCACAAATTCACACGTTTTGCAATTCTTGTATTTTTCTTAAATCACTAATCTTTTCGTTTGATGACTTTTCTCTCTGAAAATGTTTCCTGAAAAAAATATGGATGTTAGTATACTATTTGAACTTTAATGGATCATGCTGACAATATTTCTATTTCTGCTTCTAATCTTCTTTACACAGTTGAAGATGGAAGTGGCTGTTCAGATCAGTTGAGCCTTGCTCTTCTTAAGCAGCGATCTGTAATCTTCAACAGAGAGGAAGAAAACAAATGAAAATGAGATGCAGTTGCTAGAGATCATGTCAGCATGGCTAACCTGCCGTGGGGCTGATTTTGATGCCTGACAGCTAGGTTGGAATGTCTTCTCCTTTCTAACTGGCGTAAGTAAGGCCACTGGGATCCAGTTGTGCAAGTAGCTCTGCTTTACGTGGCGTGCCGCCAGGCCCCCGTGGGAGCTAGAGGTGAGCGCCATGGCTACATCTCACCACTGCAATCTGGCACTGGGCAATTACTGAGGCTGTTCCAAAGTCATCTAGACCTCACTTCTTCAGTTCCTTCTCATCTTACTGTTCTTATCGTTTACCATTTAGAGTTACTACTGTTATTGGTGGAGGCCTACTGTCCCTTACCCCTTTATCGTGAGGAGAATGGCTGCTAGGGAATTCTGAAGGTGCAAAGGAGTCTTTTCTCCAGGTCCTTATTTCTATTTTTTTTTTCTTTGGAGAGGTTTTTGCTAAAGACAGAGACAGAGAAACAGAAAGCAAGAAATCACCCCCCGGGTGGATGGCCACACCGCAATCCCTTCTCCTCCATTTTCCTCTCAGGATCTTGGGCATGCACGCACACGTGCCTGGCTTGAGTTTAAGCCACCAGGTCTGGGGCTTGAACCACGGTCGACTACATGGGAGTCCAGTGACATAGCCATTAACACTAACTGCTGGTCCCATGCCCTTATTTCTTAAACCACTTTATCTTTACAAAAATAAATTGTGGGTTGTTTATCTTCTTTCTCAAATACAACATTCTCTGCAAAACAGATTACAACATTTCTTTACTCTCCTTTTAAATTCCTTTTTTTAGCTCTTAGCTCTGGTATAAAATTTTTTTGCAAGGTATTGCATGTATTTGCTCTTTTTAAAGGGGACTTAAGGGGCCAGTGGATGGCATGGTGGTTAAGGACATTGGACTCTCACGTGGCCGACTGTGGTTTGAGTCCAGGAATTGGCGGCTTGTTTTCTCATTTTCTCTCTCTCTCTCTCCCTCCCTCTCTGGTCAAATTCAAATAAATAAATAAATAAATAAAGTTAGATAATTCTTTTAAAAATAAATAAAAGGGGCTCTCAGGTCAAAATGGTGAGCAGGTCAGCCGTTTCAGCATCAGGTCGGTGGCTGTATGGTATTTCAATGCTGCAGGATTCAATAAACTGGGGTTAATGCGAGATGATACGATATACGAGAAAGAAGATGTGAAGGAAGCCCTAAGACTTCCTGAGAACCTTTATAATGACAGGGTGTTTCGCATGGAGAGCCCTGGACTTGACCATGAGGCAGCAGATATTGCCTAAAGAGCAGTGGACAAAATACGAGGATAATTTCTACCTTGAACCATATCTAAAAGAGGTTATCCGGGAAAGAAAAAGGAGAGAAGAGTGGGCAAAGAAGTAACTAGATTGCAATCGTGGATGCGGTTGTTCTTAAAGTATTTTCATGAAGTGGGGGTCGAACCTAAAAAGTTTAATTTAAAAATAATTTGGTCGGCAGATGTATTACTTTAAATAAATGTCTATTATAAACAATAAATAAATAAATAAATAAAATAAATAAAAGGGGACTTGAATAAGATGTTAAATATGTTTTTGTTTAATTGAATAAAGCGTTCAATGCTCCACTTAAATGAATTGATCACATTTATTGAAAAACAAAACTGAAATATGCAAAAAATAAGTTTTTGGTTCAGATAATTACTGGTAAAAATAATCTATTAGATCACACGTGAAGCTTATATTTTGTGAAGGATTACATGTGTTCTATTTGCTTAACATCTGAGCAATCTCATAATTACCTTATTCTGGTAATGACAGAAGAAGCTAAACATTTCATATGTAAATAAGAATTTCAAATATAACAATTCCAAAGTTTTAGAGTCAATGAGTCTTAAAAATGTGTTTTTACTTATTTGCTGAAAATCATTTAAGAATGAATAACTTACTATCTTATCAATATGAACATCTCATTGATAGTAGTGCATTAGCTTATAAAACAAGTTACATGAGTCACTTTTTCTCATTGCCCTTGGGTACTTTCTGAAGATCAAAAATGCATATTTCACTTTTCCTGGGTGATATACATATTGAGTACTATTTGAACATAGTGGTAAAGAAAACTTAATGTTTAAAACTTTTTGAATATATGATATGTGCAAAATAACATTAGCTGTCAGGTATGATGTTAAAGATTTAATAGAATAAAATATAATTTATATTAAAATTACTTTAATAAGGCTTTAAATAATTTTTCCCAGAAAATAAAAAATAATTCAGAGATTTTAAAAAAGTAATCTTTTATAAGTTTAGTTTATTTTATAATTAAATCGACATTTAATAGTTGTACATATTTATGGAATACAGTGTCCTTTTTCAACATATAAATTGAATGTATAATTATCAAACCAGGGCAGTAGACATATCTAGTATCACGAGTATTTATCAGTACGTCGTGTTGTGAAATTCTCTTTCGAAATTCTCTCCTCTAGTCATTTTGAAATATGTATTCAACTGTCACCAACTATAGTTACTATACTGTTCTATGGTACAGTAGAAATTATTCTATCTATCCACTTGCTCTCTTGCATCTGTTGGAAGTTTTATTTCTAAATGTAAAAACTCCTGTGTCCTTTCTCACAAATTCACCATGAATGTTCAAACAAGGTATAAAAACATGTATAGGTCAGTAAAGAAAATAAACTTATCATTTGTAAAGTGAAATCATTACAGTCGGAGCTACAGCTATTATAGCTTGGTTCATACAGATGTGAGGAATTTTTATTAAGAAAACAAGAAAAGACTTTTTCTCTCAGGTAGTTCCGATCAATATGTAGACTTCAAATTTTCCGAGGAAACTTTCATTGAACCATTACCACACTCCCGATCTCTGTTCCTTGCCTCCACCACTTTCGAAGAACATAAAGTCCTAGACAAAACCAAAAATACAGAAATGAGTTTTCCGCAACGAAAAAGTTTCAGAAGCAGAAATGCTAAGGATCTGATGAAACAGAATGACGTATCAGTTCAACAAGAAAATGAATCATAATAATAATTAAGCAGTGGAAAAGTCTATAGCTGTATAAATCCTACCTTTAGCTTTTCATTTTAATACTTAAATTGTATAATTTTATTCCTTCTAAAAGTCACTTTTTCTCATTCCCCTTGGAATCTTTTTTCCTCAACTTTGTAATCCTTCTCCAGTAATAACTTTTCTGGTGACTGGGGTTCCATATCCAACTTACGCTGATAGGTATCTTAGTTAGAATGCACTAAAATTAGAACTTTTTGGCCTGGGTTTATTTCTCTTCCTAATATGTCCAGCATGTCCCTGGCCTATTTCACTGTATCAGTGTCTAATTAGATCCTCTCCCTGAGACTTCAGTCAAATCCTATGGATTTTATTCCTCTCATATCTATTGTCTTCTGTGCAACAAAAATAAACTCTACTGCAAAGCACTTGCATTGCATTGTACTATTACGATTTTGCCTTTCTTTTCTTTTTTTGGAGAGGTTTTCGCTACAGGGCGTGTGTGCTCGCCAGACAGAGACAGAGACAGAAAGCAAAAACTCATCCCCCAGAGGGGATGGTCAGGCCGCAGTCCCTTCTCCTCCATTCTCCTCTCGGGATCTTGGGCACGCACGCACAGGGCATGAGTTTTAAGCCACTGGGTCTGAGACGCAAACCGCGGTTGACTACGTGGGAGTCACAGCCATTACGCTAACTGCTGGTTCCCGATTTTGCCTTTCTTGAATCCAGTTTCTACATAGTTACTCCATCTCCAATATTCTTTGCCCTCATCCCCATTATTTAAAAGCAAATCTCTAATATCATACTATTTTATATGGAACTATTTCAGAATATTTCTGAAAAATAAAGGTTCTGTTTAGGTTTTATATAATATCGTCATATCTAAAAAATAGTAAGAATTCCTTTCTATCATCAAATAGCCAGTGTTCAAATTTCCCCAAATGTGCTATAAATGTCTTTATACATTATTTAAATGAGTAAACAAACATAAATTAGTAGCTTAAACTACAGGTTTCATTAGACATATACTCTTACTGCAGTTTACACTCCACTATAAGATTATTTAATTATTCATAGTGAGTTAGAATGACATCTTCCTGTTTTACTGATTCTTTTTTCACGTATACCCAGATTCACTGTCTTTCCCAAACACCAGTTTTGCTTGAAACCTCTATGTAATACATAAAGTCCTCTTGCCATGTGAAAATGCACAGACCTGTGACCACAGTGTCAAGACAGAACAGGATTTCAGAGCTAGGATGAAGTAGGCACCCTTGTTTAAGATCTCTAAATCAAAGCAGGCCATTTGGAAATATACAAGTTGCTGGATCATTCCAGGATGGTACTAGAGAAACTACCCATAACCAAGAGGAGTGAGAATCAACTTACGATGAGGAAGCAAGCTCCGAGCATCACAGCTTTCATTTTAACATCCAGGTCTAAAGGGAACTGGATCCCAAAGTTATCGGCATCTGTAAATGCCTCTCTCACAATCCCAGTCCAGTGCTTGGAAATCCTGCCAACCATTGTTTCTTCATCAAGTGATTTAATCTAAATTTCATAAAACAAAACAAAACAAAAGACTTAAATATTTTTAGAAAAGTTATAGCAAAAGTACTTTCAAAGTTGGTGGGACCAGCAGTTGGCATAATGGCTACACCGCTGGACTCCCACATAGTTGACCACAGTTTGAGTCCCAGACCTGGTAGCTTAAACTCATGCCAGGCGCGTGTGCATGCATGCCCAAAATCCCGAAAGGAGAATGGAGAAGGGATTGCGGCGTGGTCATCCCCTCTGGGGGGTGATTTCTCACTTTCTGTCTCTCTCTGTCTTATTGGCAAGAGCACAAGCCCTATAGCAGAAACCTCTCCAAAAAAAAAAAAAAAGTTGGAATAATGAAACAAATGTTACGTTAAAATTGTGTACCCTATGTAATAATGAACATGTAACCCTCATTTGATGCATGAAAGTTCCTGTGTCTATTTTTTTAAAGATTTATTTATTTTTAATCTTATTTATTATCATTCTACAATTTTGACCTGAGAGAGACAGAGAGAAACGGAGAGTGAAAAGAGCAAGCTGCCAGGTTCGGGACTCAACTATGGTCAGCCACGTGGGAGTCCAGCACCTCAACCACCACGTCTCCTGCTGGCCCCTCCTGTGTCTATTTATAAGTAAATGAAAAACTATTTCATCTGCAGAAAAATGACATAAAAGCTTTGCAAAAATATTTAACATTTCTATTTCTACATTAAGTTGGACAGTAATATATTATTTGAATCGATCTAAAACCAAATTAAAGCAGTAAAGGACACAAATATAGAATGCTTCTTTGATTAAATTTCTAGACGCTATCAGGGAGGTAATAAAACTATTATAACATCTGTTTTAAGAGAAGCACGGAGAGTTTACATAAGCTGACAGTTTAAACATAATAGGAAGGCTCATTACCACCACTGTTGGTAGGAAAACACAGGTACTGCCTAGAGAACACCGATTCATAGGGAAGTAACTTGACAGAATGGTCTAGGTCAAGGGTTGGCATAAGACTGGGTAACTAGTAGGGGGTGAATGACGAAAGAATAATTACAGTGTAAATATTTTATCCTTTTATAATTCTTCCTGAGAGAAATCCAAGGTCATTAGAGTACAGTAGGTCATGTGCAGACCAAAGCAATTCCTCAACTGGGTAGGTGGAGGCTGAATCCAGTCAAAATTGATTGAGCTATGTACCCACAGGGTTGGTACTGAGGAACAGGAGTGTCCGCCCTTGCATCGGGCTGAGACCAATGGAATAAACGTGGAGAAACTGAAGAGCTGATAAGGCTGGCCCCATGCATAGCGCTTAAGCTCTGTATACAGGGAGCCAGATCCCACATAGCCAACCCTGGTTTGGATCCTGGCTAGAAAGACACACTGGGAAGGTATTATTTTGGCATGACCATGCCCCATTGGGGAATGCATTCTCCCTTTCCCTCCCTCTCTCTCTATTTCTGTCTCTGGCAAGTGCACATGCCTTCTGGCAATAATAATGATTTTTTTAAAAAGTGTAATAATAGTATATAGAAGCTAAGTATGCATCAAAGAAGAATATCATAAACTATCACATATGATTGTATCAATGGTTGCTGACATTTATTAATGAGCATTTATGTAACATTTAGTGCATGAAAGGTATATGAAGGCTTTATAATTATTAAGTAAATTAAGCCTCGTAACAACCTTGAAAGAGGGGCCAGCAGGTAGTGTAGTAGTTAAGGGCGCTGGACTCCCACATGGCCGACCATGTTTAAGCCACAGACCTGGTGACTTGCTTTCTCACTTTCTCTCTCTTCCCCCATCCCTCTCTGGTCAAATAAAAATAAATAAATAAATAAATAAAGTTAAATTTAAAATTCTAAACAAACAAAAAAAAACCTTGAAAGATATGTACTATTATTATATCCAATTTCACACACACACAGACACACACACACACACACACACACACACACACACACACACAAAATCTGAAGCAAAGAAAGGTTAAATAATTTGTCCAGGTTCACACAGATAAGAGGACATAAGCATAGGTTTCGAACTCAGGCAGGCATTCTGTTTTCAGTCTGTGCTCCTGTCTATGATATTCTGTCTTTTAGAAAGTTAAGTATCAATTATTAGTAACATTTAGGTTAGAGGTCAGCAAAAAGATCAAGGTTCTGGGCTAGCCAGATGACATAATGGTTAAGGTAGCTGGATTCCATGTGCCTAATTGTGTGGTTCAAGTCCTGAATCAGGCCTGAAAGGAGAATGGAGGAGAAGTGATTATGACACAGCCAATCCCCTGGGGAATGCTTTCTTACTCCCCTTGCCCAACCCCCAAATCTCTCTCTGGCAAGCACACGTGCCTATAGCAAATTTAAAAAAGAAAAAGATGGGAACCAGCAGTTAGCGTAATGGATATGTCGCTGGACTCCCATGTAGTCGACCGCGGTTCGTGTCCCGGACCCGGTGGCTTAAAACTCACGCCGGGCGCGTGTGCGTGCGTGCCCAAGATCCCGAGAGGAGAGTGGAGGAGAAGGGATTGCGGCGTGACCATCCCCCCTGGGGGGTGATTTCTCGCTTTCTGTCTCTATGTCTCTCTCTGTCTGTCTGGCGAGCGCACGCGCCCTACAGTGAAAATTTCTCAAAAAAAAAAAAAAAAAAAGAAAAAGATGAGTGGACCATATTTGCCCATATAATATCTAAAAGTTTTGTATGGCATATTCACATACACACACACACACACACTCACACGCACACTCCAATCTGAAAGCAAAGGGTAGACATGGAGAACTATTCGACTGTTTGCCTATCAAAGGACAGATGAAGCCAGCATGTTCAGTACATTAATCACATTTATAAATTGACGAGAAATAGTGAACAGTCCCAGCGACAACATGGCAATGGATATAAACAGATAATACAAAGGGCAAATATGAGTAGCCAGTAAGCCTAGAGCAAAATGTTCAAACGCCCAATCAGGGGATTAAACGTTAAGGTAAAGGTACCTTCCTCTCTTGACCTTAGATTTTTCTTCACTAGTGAAGTTCACAGTGAGTCTAAGTTGAAGCTGAGTGTCACTGCTTTTTCTTACCCAAAAGTACCTGCACTCTCTACATTGAGGATGTATGGTCTGGCATTAAGTCTTCAAAAATTCTTAACCATTGATCTCTCTGAATATTACCCCAATGTATTCTGTGTCGTCGTCGTCTTTTTTATGACTCCTCATTGACACAGACAAGAACAGTCTACTCTACCTTCTATGGCCCTTCAGTTTTATTTGTCCTTTCAAACTTCCGTCTCTTTTCCTTATCTACCTTTCCTTCCAGTTTACTCATTCTCCCTGCACTTCTATTTAATTTGCAGTTCAAGTTTTCCAGTGAAGTGTCAATCAGTGACGATTCTTGTTTCTAGAGCTCTTATTTAACTTGTTTTCTAATCTTTCTATCCTTTATTTGTAGGTCTCCTTCCTCCTTATGTTCTTTTTCTGTTCTCTTGAACCTTTAACATCTACTTAGATGTTCTGGTTACAGATTGCTGTTATATGCAATCTGTTTTGTCCGTTTCTGATTTTGTGTACTAGTTCCTAAGGCATCATGCAACTTTTTAAAACCCTCTCATGTGAAGATAGGCGTGTTATGTAGGAATAGCAGGAAGCCTTCTACCAAGTTTCCAGATTGGTTCTTCCATGTATATCACCACTCAGGATTAATTTCTATGTTTTGAGATTCCTGAATACAACAGTGGCATAGATTTAGACTTCAAACACATAGATAGGACTAACTTGTGATATCAGTTTCATGTGGGCATATTTTTTTCTCCTATCATTATTAGTCCTGGAAGGAGACACTCTTATCATCTAAAAAGTCTTGTCTCTCTTACTCTCCCTGGGATCATCTTAGAGCTTCAACCATCTGTTGATGGGAAAACTTTCTGACATTTTCCTCTAATAGCTAAAATCCATCATGATATAAATACAAATCGTTGTCTTCCTATGAATCATCTGCTCCTCCCGAACGATCTTAACTTGGCCAATGGCATCATATTCACTCAGCTTCACAAACATCTGACATCATAATAAGATGCCAGAATAATGTTCAGATTTTCTTTTCTCCTTAATTGACATCAAGCCCATGAATCAGTCTCAGTTCACTTATGAAATGTCTCTTGAATTATTCTTTCCTTTAAAATGACTTCTGACCAAGCTGCAGTTCAGGCTTTCAAATAATCTTTATTCCAATTTTCATGTCACTGGTATCCTGATGAAGTCCATGAAATGTAATGAAGTCCCTCATACTGACAATTCCTGCTTTAAGGTACCAAACTTTCTATTAGTAATCAGATAGACCATGACTCAAGTGGCTATTTCTCTAGTTTCCCAGAGATGATACCTTGTTAGCATCTTTCTAGATGCACAGAAGAGGAGTTAATCCATTATATGCAATGGATACTTTAAAGCATCCATTGAGAAAGGTTACTGGATGAAATATAAATTCCTTATCATTAAATATAAGAATCTCACAATGCTGGGGCCAGCAGGTGGCATGGTGGTTAAAGGTGGTTAAAGGATTCCCACATGGCCGATTGTGGTTCAAGTCTTGAACTTGGAGGCTTGCTTTCTCGCTCTCCTTTTCTCTCTCTCTCTCTCTGTATCTCTTTGGTCAAATTAAAAAAATAATAATAACAAATGGAATTAAATAAATAAAAATATGTTGTTTTTTTTTAAAAAGGAATTTCACAGTGCTTTTCCAGTGTTTTCACCTATTTCCTAAGAATAAAATACATGGCAGCAAAACTTCTTTTATATTTTTTTAAAGTTCTAATCAAGTTATAGCTTTATTGAAGTACAACTGGTTCAGATTAAAATGCATGTATGGAAAGTGTATTATATGGTAAATTCTGACATATGTATATACCGCTGAAACCATCACACTCAAGATAATAGACAAGATAATAGACACATTTATCACCTCAAAAGTTTCCTTATGCCCCCTTGTAATACCATTCTC